CTTTGATTGTCTTTTTCCTAAAGCTGTGTTTTTGTATTTATGATGGTCAGCCGATTTTGTTCAGGATATTGAGTTCTGGTTACATTGGCCTACTGAAGGGAAGCCAGACACTGGGCGAGTAAAAAAAAGTTGTGGGTTGTCTGTGTGGATGAGCTGCCTTTTTTTCTGCACTCCACAACAAAAAAACAAAAGAAAAGGCTTCCCTACAGAGTCTAACATTCGGTGTCTAGCTTTGTTTGGAAAAAGCCTTCTGCACCAGCACAGCAGCATCAACAACTGAGGTCCCCCAGTAACCATGGCGATGAAGGCTTACCTGCTCTACTGCTTGAGGTGCAGGCTTTTCTAATCAGTCATTTCAAATTGGCATTTTCTTGGGGGCACCAGCAGCCAAGAAAACGCATGACTCAATGGTGCGGCTTGCTGCTGTACAGTGCGTACTCTTTATTTCTGTTTTCAGCAGACTATACAGCAGCATGCAGCCTGACAGTGGGTACTGACGGGAAATCTCGGTACTCGCTCAAGATATCCAAGTGTTTCGCGCAGGTGGTATGGGACAGTGCTGAGCTGCCGTGGCTCAAACTCACCTGCTCTCTCCGTGTCCATAAGCCCTGATTGCAAAACATATCCCCCCTGTTCTTCTACACGTGTGGTTTCCTGCACTGCAGAATGTGAAATCCATCCTGAAGCTACATGATGTGATATCCCTGTGTGCTGTGGTAGTCAGAGCAATAAGAGCAAGCTGAAATTGCCCAGAATCGTTAATATTGCTAGTAAAATAATTGGCTGACCACATAAACAGCTAAAAGAGCTGTATTATATTCCAGTTTGGAGGAAAGCTGATCTTGTCGTTGATGACCCCGCCCACTGTCTTCATTCCCATTTTCAACTGCTACTGTACCTTTAGGGAGATGTTTCAGAATACCAAGAAAAATGCAGACAAGAAATCTGTGGTTCCCTGTGCAATCAGTGCAGCTAAGTGACTGTTCCCTGTGTGGAGCTATCGGGTCAGTGTAATGATAATGTATTATTGTCAGAGTGAGATGTCTGTTTATGTATTTAAAAACATGTATAAAACATGGATTTATTTTGAGTGTTTTTTTTTAGGTCAAAGACATATTTCCACCCCTTTTGGATGGACATAAAAATTGTATTTATATGAACGAATGCACTTTCTACACAATGTAACCATGAAAAGTTGTACTTCTCTCACATGTAATATTGCAGACATGCCCGTGCTTGGAGGAGCTGGGGTTTGTGTGGCAGGGGTAGAAATGTGTTTCATATCCATGGAAACACAGCACAGATGGGCACAGTTCCCTTTAGACCCTGCAGGGACCCATCACATCTCTTTGCTGTCTTATTAGCGCATGGGAAGCTGCTCTGTTTTTCCTCTATTAAAACCTACTAGAAAATGTTCGGCTTCTTGGAAATTAATGTTCTTCCATTCCAGGACTGCCTGAAATTCAGCCTGCGTCTTACTTTCACTTCAGGTTCAATCTGAACTAATGTTTGTTTAGAGCCTGGAGGACAGCTCAAGTCCTGAGTGTATTCCCACTGTACGCCTTTTGTGTCATGACATATGGCAAAATTAGTGATCACACTGAAAAGTTGATTTATAAAAACAAATAAATCAAATCACCCATTGTCTAATAGCAGTTTCTGAATATGACTGTTCCTCTTTAGTCTCTTCTCCTTATACTGTTCAGTGGTGGGAGAAATCAGTTATATTGATGGCAATAGTCTTACTTGTTTACAGATTTATTTGTCATTTCCTCTAGTCATAATTTTATTATATTTTTTTTACAAAACACAGTGGCAGAGCCAGGCAACTGTCCCACATTTACTGATGCATCCAGTTCATAGCATCAGTGCACAGTCTAAATTGGAAGAACTTTTGCCTCTGTATTTAATCACTCAATAATATATTTATCTGCTTCTACGCAAAAGCCTGAGTCACCATGTCGGAAGCAATCTGTTCAGCCATTCTGACTCGCAGCGCACTGCTGCATCAGATCAGAGGAGAAAGTTAAAAGATAATTCAGTCAACTCCTTCATGTGGGGAGCTGGTGTTACTGATGCTAGACATGTGGTCAGAATCACATCTTTACAGACGCCACTATAAAATAAAAGGCTTGATTTCAGCCTCTTTCATAGAACATTCACAAAATGCACCAAAAGCAAATCTGACATTTGGAAGTAGAAAATCAGCATGTAAAACGCACAGCACTGCACAATCCCATCGGAAATGTTGGCCTCCAAATGCAAACACATTATCTGATAATGCACATGTCAACAAAGGATTTAGGGTATCAAAAGTATGAATTTTGAAGGGAGAGATTCTTCCATTCAGCTGGTTATCAAATGATGAATGCAAATGCATCCACTAATTTGTAATACCTGATCAGGGATATCTGATGGAAACTTGGCCAATGTCTCTTTGTAACTTTTTGTGTTAAATCAATAAACACGTAAATGAACAGATAAAGAAATGTCACTTTCTATCTGCTGACAAAAATGAAATTTGGCGAGTTGATGTGTGGGAGGCCGGAGCCTTTTAGGGTCTGGGAAGATCCAAGATAATTAAAAACTCTGCAATTATCTGCTAAATAGGTCAGTTAGAAAAAAAATGAGCTGCTTTCAGGACATTACCTTCATGTGAACCTGCCCTGTTCCTGTTAATTGGCATTCTTTAAAAATGAGCACGAATAATGGATGTGTCACCAGTTGCTATGGGACTGATCTTCACAGGCAGAGCAGCAGATACTGCTAAGAGAGAGGTTTGCGCAGAAGAAAAAGATTCACTTTGACTGGAAAGTTTAGCTCAATAGAAGCACCAAGTCACGAGTATTTGAAGGATTACTGTGGTTGCTTTAAGTGTTTCACACATCCTATAATGCCACTCTTTAAAGGTCTAAAGTGCAAACCTATGAACAAAAAAACAAAACTCTTCACATCTTCCCTTCCTGGGGGGGATGATAATACTTGAATTCAATAGGTACAAATATAGCAGACTATCCTTCTCAGTCTTCTCAGTCATTGCCCAAGCATATTGCCTCATCCCTTGTGCTTCTGCAGTGACCTGGCTCGTCTCACACCTGCCTTGCCATCGTGGCCAGGCTGCCATCCCACAGGCCGAGCAGACTGAGGCCACAGCATGTCCTCAACCGCTCATTTAGTGAACACTGGGAGGCCTGGCGCGCTGAGCATGATCTGTATCTTTAACAACCAAATTGGAGCATGTTGGGTGTCTGACTTGAAATTCAGAATGAATCTACTGCTGTATTAGAAGATACAGTAAACATTAGTATTTACTGCTCTTTTGTGGTCACTTGTATGCATTGTAACTGCATGGAGAGAATACATCACACACAGAACTGGATCTTCTATTGAAAAATGAAATCTTTAAGAACAATCCTCAAATTGGGACTAAGTGTTTCTTTTTTCCCTCATGGCACATGTTACGGGCTTAATGAGGAAAAGCCATTCCAGCTAGCAGCAGCTTCCTCAGCTCCTCTGTGCTCGCTGCTGCTGCGGGTTGGCTTTCACGCCTGGTTTTCCCACGCCAGCCACATGCATTCAATTCAAGCTCAACTTCCCAGATGCCCCTGGAGGAAACTCCCCAACTCCAGCCCCTCCTGTTTGCCGTGACAGGAGAAGAAGCATGGGAATTTCCAGTCCTGGATCCAGAGACTCCAGGTCCTGCAGATTTCACAGGGAAGACCATGCTATCATGCTAATTAAGCAAATAATTAATCAGGTTCACCCAGGGCTCAAGTGCTCATAAATCACTAGCAACTTGATGCTGCAAAGACGTTATTGAGACTGTAATGGGAGCCTTCATACAGCAGCAACCAACATCGGGACTCTGCACTAGATGGCAGTCTGGTCACAAGCAGAAATCTGCACAAAACAATCACAAATCCTGGCTCCGAGAGCTTAGATGTAGTCTCAGGATGAGCTCCACTGCTGCTCGATTCAGGCAGACAAACTACTTTCCCCTCACGAAACAGTCTGGCTCCATTTCAGGTTTTATGAGTTGCAGTCTCTTGTAGAAATTGTACAAGCTAATGATGCAGAAAGCCGTACCAGTGGCATTATTATAAAGCTACATGTGGCTGTGCAGACTGGCTCAAGATTGCAATACTGAAATATGCAGAACATAGCATCTTACTTAAATTCTAACAATGAAAAGATCTGACCTGGATCAAAGTGCTCTGTAGTGGAACTCTTACTTCCCTTTCCTGTACTGTGTGTGAATATATTAAAGAGCATGGATCACGGGGTCAGTCACACACAGAGGGAGGTATCCCATGGCAACCTGAGAACAGTCCCTCAGCAGACAGTGCCCAATGGTAATGTTTAACGATGACATCTCAGCTACAGCCTCATTTCCTTGAACTGGGCAGAACAGTATGCTGGTAAATGTTTGCCTACTGAACAGTTTGCCCTCTCAGATTGCTTCCAGTCCAGATGTCCAGAAAGTGCTTGACTGTCTTGACTGCCTTGTGGAGCTAATCAACAATTCACAGAACACCTATGGCCGAGAAGATGGGTATTATCAACCGGCGTGTCAAACTGTCATGAAATACACATATATTGAAATAGCCAATCAGTGCCTATTGCACAGCTCAGAAAACAGAAATGGCAAAATGACACATCAGACATATTGCGCAATGCAAAACCATAAATAGCTTCCAGCTACAAATCATATAACTATTTTGAAAGTTATCTACAAAACAGAAAGCCAACCAGGCTGTCCTGACATCATGCCTCCGAACTAAATTGACACATCAGACATATTGCGCAATGCAAAACCATAAACAGCTTGCATCTCCAGGAGCAGCATGACTCTTCAGCTGCCACAGTGCAAGACCAACTCAAACCATAAATCACAACAAGGCACCAGCACTGTACTGCAGTCAGATCGCCAGCAGCCACACAGGGTTCCAAAGCCAGGAACCCCTCCCAGCATAGTCAAGTGATGAACCTGCTCTACTTACACACTGCCTCTTCTGGGAAGGCTCAGCTCCTTCTGCAATTGGAAAAGAGACAAGAAACATCATTGTAATGATAATACATTGCCACAAGAATAACTTGCATCCTGCAGAGGCTTGTAAGATTGCATTATTTAAAGCCTACGCACTGTGAAAGGCACAGCACATTGGCAGAGGAGATGCACAGAGAGCACCCCCTGCACAGCATAAAGAGCACAGAACAACAGGGAGGGATGAAGAATGAGTCCTTTTAGATGCCACAGAATATCCTTCTGTCATCAGCAAGACGTTTACCCTGGTAAGTGTTCCCAGAAACCACAGCTTGTTTAGGCAGGACTACAGTCCATCACAGGGCACACACCACACACAAGGACAATACAGTCTCACCTGATCTTGTTCTGATCCGGATCTTTAGAATTTGGGAGGAAATGCCACAGACCATTGCACTTAATAAATATGTAATACTCATCCCCAATCACAAGGCTTGCACTATACATCCATCCAACAACAGCTTTAAGCAATTCAGGGTAGCCAGAGTCTCCACTCGTAAGCAATGGGAGCCCGTCAGGACACCTGTCCACCGCAGGACACACACAGACACACACAATCACACCAGGGCCAGGTTTCCAGAAGCCAATTAACCTGCCAGGACTGGGGGAGGAAACCGGAGCACCTGGAGGAAACCCATGTGAACAAAGGGAAAACATACAGGCTCCACACAGAACATACTGCACACACACACAGATAGCACCCCGCGTCTTCAATTGACTCCAGGGTCCCAGCGCTGCCTGCAAGGCTTCATTGTTAACCCCGGGGGGCCCCTAAAAGAATAATCCAACAACCCGCCAAGCAACAAAAGGAACAAAACGGGGCAAGGGGGGGGGGATTAACCCCCAAAATGAAAAAAAAAAAAAAAAAAAAGAAACCCAAATAAAAAAAAAACGAACAAAAAGCCAAAGGGCCAAGAAAAAAGGGCATTTTTGAAGAAAAACAAAGTCAAGGTACAAAAAGGGTAATTAAAGCAATTTGGAAAAGAAAAAAATCAATTTAAAAATTCCAAAAAAGAAAAAAAAAGTAATATAATCATGAGATGACAATTTAATCCAGCAAAATGAAAACAGTATGGAGTTTTTTTTCATTCATTTAATGTGTGTTTATCAGGTAAACAATTATTCCATCTGGAATTCGTTCCCTCCTTTCCTGTTTCTTCCAAGACCCTGCGCCTAACCACGAAAGCATTCCTCCCTCACTCACACACTCAGAATCCAACTTTCCATCTGGATCCTGAGAAGAAGCCAAATCACAGCAACAGTGGCAAGATCTATTTCTGCTAAACCCTTAAACTCGAACGCTTTTTGACAGCCGTGGAACTCCTCTTAGCTGTGCTCGCCCCTTCATCAGGACAAGCCTGTGATTCACAGTTTGCTGTGTGCGTCACCGGTAAAGGGTTTCACTGCCTGGAGATTTTAACAGGCGCATCTCCACGCTGTGTCCCTTGATGTTACGTGGAGCTGAGTTTCATTCACAGGCAGCGCGTGATACACTATCAATGGTGCCCTGACACAGTGTTCTAAATGCGGCAGATCATCTCAGGCTTAGGGACTGCCAGGTGGCTCTTGAAGGCTTTGTATCAATTGCCGCTGATTCTGAATTGAAGAATGGAGACAACGCTGACAGAGAATATCACATTAATTAGGAGCTGCAAATAAACATAACAACAATGTCTGGGCATGACAGGACAGGGCAACTAAGCCCGCCTCAGTTCTGGAAAGCTTCATTGTTATTTCAGCATTGCAGGCAGCAATTAGCTGTTTTTTCAAAACTGGGGATGCACACTGTGCAGACAGCAGATGCATGTCACTGCACAGAGACCTGCACTTTATATATACAGTTACTGAGAAGAAGCACACTGCTTTTATCAGAGTAGATTAGATTCCTTGCACACCTGAAATACACATACTATAGACCTTCCTGCAGGTGTTCCAGCCTATGTGAGACCAGCAGTTTGATTGTGCCCATTACTTGAGTGCTAAATCAATTTAAATGATCATTATTAAAGACCCTTATTAAAGAAGCTCATTGAATGAAATCAGCCTAAGCTTTTATGTACTAAGTTCACTAAGTTAATTAACTCTTCCATAATGAACACCAACTGAGGAGACTTGCCAGCGCACAACGGGCTGTAATATGGGGAATTATTTCAGTGTTGCACTCAAATCCAAAGCCAGTGGGTATTAAGACATGTTGCAACATTAATTTATGTTCCCTTCACACTTCCCGACTGGAGTTTCTCCAGAACGTGTGTGAAGTATTTATCTTTTCAAGTCATAATCTAATCAGAAGGATTGAATAGATTAGAACTAAACTATAGATTATCTGTATCGGGTAAGCGATATATCACAAGTAATTCTAGTCCTACAGACAAGAACAAAGACTTTTACTTTCTCAAATGAGCTCTCACATGCTTAATTAAACTACTTGTCTCATGTGCTCAGGATTAACCTTATCTTGAGCCTCTCTCCCTCTGGAGAATATTAAAACAAAAAAAACAAAATGATTCATGAAACTAACTCACCTGCAAAGTTTAGATAACAGCACAGTAATGGTGCCTGTTATTATATTAATAAAAGTTATTTTATGTAATCTGTAATGGTCAATCCTTGAGAAAATGCGGGATTACACTTCAGAATGTTGGGAAAGCTTTGGAGAAATTTCTGCTCACATTCCGAACTTGGAGACAAGGAATCATGTGAGAAGACAATATCAAAGAAGGATGTCTCACTGTTTTATTACTACTAAAATATAATGGCTCAAAAATGTTCATTTATAAAGTTAGTGACATTATTAGATTTATTTATAAAAGAGGAAGCTTTTGTTTGAACCCAATGCTTATGTGCATATTAGGACGTGTTACATTACAAAGAGTTCTCATTTCTACGGCGGGTGTCAAAACCACATGCCCATTTGTATAGCCAGGAGGGTGTGGAAGTCTGTAGACACCAGTTACAGGAACTGGGGGCATGAGGGAAACAGCAAAAAGCAGACCTAAAAGCAATGGTGTTACTTGCACTGCGCATTTAATCTTTACAAGAATGACATACAGCAGCACAACAATTTACTTCTTTTTAGCATGGTAAATGTTGTTACATTTTGCCTTTTCATGATATCACCAATTTAGAAGCTCTAGCAGTTCTACACAGATAGCTTACATGTAATGCCTTATCTTTTATGCTCTTTAATTGCTTTGATATTACTTGATAGGCTCTGAGCTCACAAGTGGAAGGTTGCAGGCTCAAATCTTGCGTGGCACTGCCCTTGAGCAAGGATCTTCACTCGGATTGCTCTAGTCAAAAAGTCTTCCCATATAAAGGGGTGAAAATGTGAGTTGTTTGTGGAAAACTGAATAAATTTCAGCCAAATAAATCAATACATTAAATATAAACTTGAGCATAAATCAGAGTTTGATCATAATTTGCATTTATATTAAGGAGATAAAATACGATCTTTGTGATGAATCTTTAAGCTTTACCATAGATGTAAAATAAATTGCTTGAGATTTGAAATACACTTGTTACTGTGTTTCTCTTGGTCTGGAATCACTTCGAGTGTCAAAACAGAAAGCAGGAGTGGAAGTTATGTCTGTTCACCCTTGGCATCTCTGAGTCATGTTATTGGCATGAAATTTCTATTAATACTTGTATTATCCATCTGCCCACAAAAGCCAGTGCTACTGATATATTTACACCCACACTCCACTACACCTACAGTTACCTTTTAGATACATTATTTAGGATCCATCTCCTCAGGAATCCATCATTGATGTAACTTGCTAGTCTCTTTTAATAATGTTTTTTTTTTCTGGTGGTTAATCATTCAATCACATCGGGCACAGCAATCACAGTCTGTTTGGGTTATTACTGAATTCACCGAGTTTGAGATTAATGGCCCAGCTTTCCCCTATTTTGTATTTCAAAAGGTTTTGAATGAGGACTTACAAAAATAAGGTTAGCAGCACCCAATGGAGCAGATTAGCTAAAATAGTTTAGAAAACCTGGATCAGTACCAGCATAAAACACAAGGGTGTTTGTCCCTTAAAGCTTAACATCTCATTGATGACAAAAATGGATCAGGATTTTTTTAGACTATTATCATAATCTTGCTGAGCAAATAAGGAGCCTTTGACTTCAGTCCGGCACATTCTCCTCAAAGCTGATGACATCGGAGGTCTATCTGCACTGCGATCAGGATATGCTGAATAATAAGTGACTTTCGATGAATGGTAAGCTCAGCGGATGTTGGTGAACCTGTGTGTGTGTGATAACCCTTATTATCCAGCTAATTCATGTAGAACAATATTCAAAAAAGGTAATACACCAGTAATCAAGCATGCTTCTCAGAAATTGTGGTAAGATTAGCTCTGATGATTTACAGTTTGGCTTGTAAAACAACTAAATCTGCACATACCAGCCACAAGGACCAGGCTGCTTGAAATCATACACTGTACTGACACAGATGTGCAAATAGACAGAGAAACCCATGTATGATGCAACTAAATACCCTAACCACACCCACCCAACCAACCCAACCAAGGTTGTACAATGTACTATCTGGTCTGTCACTCCTTTTCTAAAACTGTTCTGACTTTATTTTTGCAGACTGTTTTAAACCCTAAGACGTCGTCTTTAGAATTACAATTCAAGGGGGGGATAAAATAGAAAAAGACAAATAAAATGCCGTGGTAATTCTTTCTGAAGAGCACTGGTGAAAAGAAGCTGAGCTGCAAAGACAAAAGGACACAATCCTACAGCCTTCTGATTTAAAACAAGTCTTCTGCTCTCCATGTCTTAATTTGATGTATGTTCCAGCAATCTATTTGAATGTTAAAGAAATTCATTTTCTTTCCTATAGTTTAGTTTATGTTTTACCCAATAACTGGCTCATAGGAGCCTCTGATCTTTTCAGTCCTCAGTCTAGCTCAGTGCCCAGGAATGATGCACTAGCCTTCAGAATCTACAATATAATGTGGTTTGTCTCTTAACAAGTCCTGTTTGTTGAATCTGCCCACTGCATGTGGTGAATTTCAAAGGCGTATTGCTTCTCTCCCTTAAAACAATAAAACCTTTACCTGCAATCTTCTTCTCTTTAGGTATTTCATGCTGACCACTACCAGTCTTTTGAGCCGTCTTTGAGTGTCCTGCTGAGTTAAGGGTATATCTCTTTATCCTGACTCCATGTTATTTTGTGTGTGTGGGCTGATCTCCGGGCTCTTTTAATCATTAACACGCTGGCATTTCTTATTTTAACTCTCACGGCTTGTGTTCTGACTGCTCTTCTATGCGCAGGTCCTTTTGAAAAGCTTTCCCTTCCTCTCCCACACTTCACAGTCCTATTGAAGAAAGTGCTCCAACTAAAGGGGAAAGATTTGAGGTGCAGTGCATTTTCTAACCCTTCTTCCAACACAGGGTCGCAGAGGAGCTGGAGCCCATCCCAGCAGGCAACGGGCACAAGGCAGGGTACACCCTGGACAGGACACCAGTCCATCACCGGGCGCATAGAGACAAACACAGACGCACACACAATCACACCTAAGGCCACTTTTTGCAAAAGGAAAACATAACCTACTGCGCCATACTGGACTGTGGGAAGAAACCAGAGCACCTAGATGAAACCCACACAAACTTGGGGAGAACATGCAAACTCCACACAGACTGTTTCAATCAAATGAGCAGAAAGGTGGGCTTCCTTCCAGCTTGCTGCACCTGTATGTGTGGAGCTCGTATATTCTCCCTGTTTTCTAGTTCAAGTTTCAAGTTAGGTTTGATTGAACAGTCCAACCTATCCAAACGGTTTGATGTTTTAAGAGTATTTAATTTTTGAGTATTTTATTTCCAGTACAGTCAGCTTGGCTTTGAGACTATAATAGAACCAAATGAGCTAAATTAATTGAATGTTTCCTCTCATTAATGACTGATTTCTGATATTGTGTCACATTTAATGTGTTCACCTTTCTGCCGCCCAACATGGGGTGTTTTGCTGCGGCACTTACTGTGCGTGTTTTACAAACTGAATTGTGTTTCTACCATTTTTTAGTCGTCAAGACATGACATCTTCAAAATTCAACTGAGTAAATAAAGTTTTTGTTTAAAAAAAACTTGGTGCTGGGTTTTGAGTTAGATCCTGCATGTTCGTGCTTTCTTTTTATCTGTTCACCGGCGTGGTGCAATATTCTGCCTGTGCCCTCCTGTTGCGGCATGATCGCAATTCTAATGATCGTTAACGCGGAAGCATGCTAATTAATCCGAGGGGGCTCCCTCGCGGAGACAAAGCAGTGGGAAACACGAGCTTCTCTCAGCGAAGCCTCGCATCCGCCGGCATCAGCCTCCTGGAGCTGTTGCCCCGGCAACTAGCTGCCCCGCTGCAGGGACAACGGCGCTGAAGCTGGCCGACAGAGCCGCTACTGTCCCGACTCCCGCCCCATCAAAACACTCGCCACGTCCTCACATCCTGACATAATCTCACCCGGCCAGCGTCCAGCGCTGAAAAATAAAATCTCTTTTTTTTGTTTCTCTCTCTCTCCCCAGAGCTGACGCAGTACTGCCGGTGTCCTTACTGTACATTGACATTCCCACAACACTACCGCGGCAGGGAGCGCCCAGCGTACGCGTTTCATTTTAATGATAATTAGCACGTCTTTAGCACTCATGGAGAACCGACGCCAAAAAAAAAAAAACAGGCTTTTCTCCCACTTAAGAGTCCACGCTTTCTAAAGACCTTCTTCTCTGGCGTGCACAGCTTCAAGGGATGAAACTAAAAAGCAACACCGATGAATGCATGAATGTATGATGAATGTATATCATCTTTTAATATGGTTAACTCAAGTATTCGAGCACTAAGAAAATCGTTTACATGAATTCGTTTGGACTGTGTTTTTAATATTTATTTCATTCTGGAACGTCTGAAAACCAAAGACTATAACGGACTGTAAATCATACCACGCTGTCAACAACGAGGGATGAATTGTATTTGTTTTTTTTGATCAGGCACTGCTTTGCGTAAAACGGACACATTGATTTGCGCACACACATTGAAAGACACGACGCCTCCAGTTTAAGTCATACAGTACCTCCAGACCTTGAAAACCCAATAAAACATCACATGCCTGCAAAGACAGTTTATACTTTAACACTAATAATTAAGGTTCTTTTACGGACACAGTCGGATTTCTCTCTAGTCTGTAAGACTGTGTTTTAAGGTGGCTTGGACCAGGAGAAATTTCACAGCCAACACACAGCAGCAGGAAACCGTCAGCATATTTGCTTGACTGTATCCCTGCAGGAGAACTATTTAACGCGCTCTTAATTCAACAGGTGCTTTTACACACCATTCCCATCCGCTCCAATCACTTCAACAGACTCTGGGGAGGCAGTTTAGGGGAGGCAGCGTTGAACATGTTGATATCTGCGAGCTCACAAGTTTTTAGTCTTTTAATAGAACGAGACCCTTACATAACATTACTATAGAGTTAGCCGTCTTTAGTATCTTCGCGTCCTTAGTCTGCTACTCTAGTTCACAGAGCCTGTTTGCCAGCATCACATTTCAAGAGGTCGAACAGCGCATCATAAGTCTTTCCAGTTATGTTCCTGCCTGCAGTCTTCGGGCGCCCCTGCCTGCCTTGCTTACCTGCAGCCCACGGCGTCTCAAAATGTTTGGCTCATCCATGGCGAGTGGGGAAGAGCTGCTGCTTTCCTGCCCAGTTCAGCCCATACTGGGACCCGCTCTCCACGGGCGCAGGGGGCAGTCAGCCTGCGCTCGCCGCTCGCTCCGTGACGAAAGGCTGCCTCTCTCCTCTCCCCATTCACAGGCTTCCCGAGTCAGCTGACCTGGGAGAGCTTCTGAATGAACTCACTCTGGCCGCTGGGCTTCCACTCGGACAGGGCACGAAGGGTAGGGTTAAGCCCCGACTCCTGCAGATGGACGGCAGAGAGAGCATGGCAGAACACGAAGGGTCAATGATATTTCATTTGATCACCCAACGCATCTTTGTATGACGAAAAGTCCCGTTAATTAACCCTCTTAGTTAACCGACAGATCCGTGAGGATTATTTTTAATCTCTCCTCACGGCAGTGTTTTGAGATATGGAGTTTAATTAATAAGCGTTCATTTTGAGGCTCATCAAGGTATGTGCACATTGATATATGAAAGAGTGCATCCTGGAGGGATTAGCTTTGAAGCTCCCGGTGCACGGGTGAAAAATGAAAGCTGGAAACCCAATCAAGCAATGCTCTTATATAACGTTGCTGCCACCACGGATAAAATCAGTAAGTTAAAAAGGGTCACCGGCTTAAGAGCAGACAGGCTTGCTGTGAATAATTTGATTTTATTTTTGAAGGGAAACGAAATTAGAAACTATAAGTCATTGCATTTACAGGAAGTGTGCCGTGCTCTGCTTCCCAGTGCCTTACTCAAGGGATCAGGGAGCAGAACAAGGCCTCTTGGTCACTTCGATTCACGCTAACCCCCTTTAAAGCCCACAGCTCCTCTCCGTCAGGGAGCTGTGATGCTCGGTTCCTTCCAATCTCCGGGCGCAGAAGCCCTCTGGCCATCATGTGGACGCGATCTCAGTTACCGCCAGACTCGAAGTGGCACCAGAATTTTTCCCACAATGCCCGACTCTCATGGTGCACAACACGGTCATTGATCCGGCTGCCCCAGCCGCGCAGCTTTGTTCTATCGCTCCGTTGGTAAACAGCGCTGCTCCAAGTCCCTGCTCACAATGTCCCAGTGTTTTCGAAAGCCAGAAGAAAAAAACAACACATTTTTCTCCCCTTTTGGATCTGAAAGCCAAGCTGTACGCATCAAACAAATTTTGTTTAAAGATACCAGACTTGCGCAATTCCTTTCTTCAAGCATAGCAAAATATACCGTCCGTACCAGTAATACGTGCATCTCGGGCTGTCTCAGTGTACCAGTGCTACACAATCTAAATCTGTTTTGTATCGCTTCTCTCCTTTTTTAGCCTTGTGTACTTGTACTGGCACACTTTGGCTGCACACTGGTGGAGGTGGAGGGGAGTCCCCATTACCTGTAAAGCGCTTTGAGTGGAGTGTCCAGAAAAGTGTTCTATGAGTGTAATTAATTATTATAATTATTACTCTCTGCTTATCCCCTGTGATCACCTGAACAGTCCTCGTAGAAGTCCCAGAGATCACACTTTCCCTCTCTTAGCCCGTGCCTTGCTGTAGGCCGCCAGGGCATGGGAGAGTAAGGGAGGTGTGATGGAGCAGGAGGCCCAGGGACAGCCAAGACAGAGACGAGGAAGACGCGAGTGAGGCAGCCGATGGACTGCGCTGATGGTTTTTGTGGAGTGCAGGGGGTAACAGCACGGGAGACAATCCAGACCTGGGCTTTGTGCGTGTTTGTGACTTGAGAGGGCTTGTAGGATATGTGTTGTTGTCTGTGGCAATGACAGAGCGAAATGGGACTGTGCAGTGCACAAAGAACGCTCCCTGGGATCATCAAATTATCTTTTCCCGTCTTGCAGGGGACTTTAATGTTCATTGGCTTTTTTTGTTAGGAGCGCATGGATACTTTTAATCCTATAGAATTACTCTGCGGGTCTTGGTGTGTGCAATGGATGAGAAGGCTTCAAGCACCTTTACAGTAGCTGTCTGGTGTAGTCGACTACCGGACCTGGAAGTGGTCACTACTATGACACATACGAATCCAACAATGACTCCTCTTCGGGGTTTCTTTGACATTTGCAGGTTAATCCTGTTAAAGGTCATCAACAATGCACGTCGTCGGCAGTTCACGGTTGTTGTCTTTTGTTTGTCGTTTTGTCAGAAGCTCTTACTGCAAAGTACTGCTCTGACAGCAATGATTAAGATCAGTTCTGTTTCAGAAGCCACTGCAGCAGAAAAGCCTCTCTGGGAGAATATTTATCTGCGAGGCATGTAGGACAGGATCCAGTCATGCAAAATTAGGAAGACCTGGAAAAGTATTCAGCGGTGAATTATCACGTCAAAGCATGCTGGCTTCCAAAGTAAAACAAAATATTTCCTTTTCAAAGACCCATTAAACAAAATCAGGCAGACGCTAATGGTCTACCTTATTACTACAGTCTCTACAGGGACTGCTGGGGTGCGTTATAGTCTGAGATACTTGGCATGAAGTAATGGTAGGGCAATGAACAAAGGATCCCTAATTACTAATTTATTTTTCCAAAACAACTTATATGGGCATCATCTTACACTGTTGGGTATTTTATTAGAGCAATTAAGGTGAAGCATCTTGCTTCGGGATGCAACAGGAATGTCACACCTGTGATTTGAATCCACATCCTTTCAGCTTCAAGGAAGAACCTGAACCACTAATCCACATATCTGGCCAGAAAAAATCAACTCTGCTAGACCCAAAGAAAGAGTAGAGAATTCGACAGTTAGTCAGCATCCAGGAGAGCTCATTGCATATGCTCTGCAGTTGAGCAAACATTTCCCACAAGCTACTTTTAACAGCACAAACTGACACAAATGCAACACCAATAAATCAGGCCGGTTCCATTCTCCTGCCCCGTTGTAAGGGGGGGACTGAACGGCATCGTGTCCCTGAAAAAATAAGGCGCTATATCTCGGAAACAAAAGCTAATTTCAACGGCACAAATCAGCACAGACGCAGCACTAATGAAGGCACTGGGTTCAATCCTTTGTGCTGTCTGAAGAGGGGCCAACATCACAGAGCTGTCTTCTGCCTGAGGAATAGGGGGGGGAGACATGATTGGTAAGGTCTTGTAAACCAGACTGAATTCTAGGCTGAGGGGTGGGGATATTGAGCAATTTCATTTCCCACATTTGTGTTTCTCCTGTATTCTCTTATGTAGAAAGAAGCTGTTTTCAGATAAAATGTTCTGCGCTGGAATTTTTAATTGCTTTATTATTCTATACACTGTATGAGAATAAAGGAATCCACATGGGACATTGAGTACGCCACAGGTCTCTAGCCCTGGTCCTGGAAAGCCCCAGTTCAGCAGGTGTTGTAAATAATCAATCATAAATTTGGCCTGCAACAGTTTAACCATCATCAACTCTAGAAGTGGTGTGTTCAGTTAGAAAATTAGAGATCATTAGAAAAAAAATTAGAATGGCCCACAAGGAGCAGTGTTTTCTTCATTGAAACATTACTTGCTTAACTGATTAATTGCTTAAACAAGTCTTGCTGATCTTTAAATAGGTGGTTTAAAATAACCTATAAGAGTTACAGAACTGGGGCTCTCTAGGACCACAGTTTGTGTATACAATATGTGCCATTAGATACTGAGTATACAGTACTCAACACTGACCTGTGAGTAAGCAGTACTCAACACTGACCTGTGAGTATACAGTACTCAACACTGACCTGTGAGTAAGCAGTATTCAACACTGACCTGTGAGCATACAGTACTCAACACTGACCTGTGAGTATCATGTACCTACATTCAGTGTGTATTTATTTTTTTGAATGGGTGAGGAGATTGCAGTGGTTTTGGTGTACAAATCAGATAGAAATGAAAATTGACTGCAGAGAGCCTATGAAGAGGAAGCACGTTCAGCTGCATTTCATGGTCCTGGCTCAGGGCCCTTCACAAAGCTTCAGCTCTGACGGGCTGTCTAAATATGTTTGAGCACGGATGTAACTGCAAACCACGAAAAGGTAGCTGGTGTGAAAGCAAAAGGAAACAGACGAGACCTACAGAAGCTTTGAAAGCTGCGAGTTCATGCTTGAAATGTTTTCTACTGTGTCTGCTCTTGGCGAAGTCTGAAGTGTATTCAAGCTCGAATTACAGTCCCCTGACCTCCTTCTCAAAGGAAAGTTTTGAAAGAGCTGAGCATCACCCTCATCAGATGCAAACAAAGCAGGGCACAGTTCATCTTATGTATCGAAACTAATATTAGACGCCTTCGTTAAAAACAGCAGACTTTTTGCACTGCAACTATATACACTGGTATGGCGCTGTAGGGACCAGAAGTCACAGTGCAGTTTAGTGTAGTTTTGAAATAAATGTCCCCTGGAGAGCAAAGCAGACATACCTTTGCCTCCTCTGCTCTGAAAAAAAGGACATTTTATAAACCAGGCAGAGCCCAGCTCCTCCTCTTGTGTAACCCTAAATGTCATATTTAGGACAAGGACACAACATATAAATGCACACTGTAAAAGGGCACACGTGGTATGGGAATGTTATTAAACACTAACACAGAAAGTATATTCTGATGTCCAGTTGACTGAAAGTGTTGCACACTCTTTCTAGCGAGGTGAAGAGGTAACAATCGTCACTACCAGCTATGAACAGCAGGTGTGCTGCCTGCTTTCATAATAAAAGGGATCTGTAACTGGATTCTCATCAGTCCTGACTCCTCAGCTTGCAGTCAGGAATGGCTGTTCAATCTTGTGTGTTTTATAGTTTATTCATAACATTAATAGTAGCAGTGATAGTGAAAGAAACCAATACCGCGTGTTACAGTTACTTGTACATACTCTTATTAACTCTAACCACTTTGTTAACCACTGTCAAAAATGGGAGGTGGGGGGTTCTGTATTTTACGCTTAGGATGCACAGAGCATGTCTCTTCTTCAGGTCTTTCAGGTCTCCGCCAATATGGGCATTTTCCTGTTTCTGCAGGAGTAGGTGAGTAGAGGCTGATAAAGTTGAAAGAGGTTCCTGAACAAGAGCAGTGTGAAAGATCACATTCTGCACCGAGGACCAGCCTTGAAACAGATCCAAGTTCTGGTACATCTGGTGTATGTACAACACATGTGTCTGAATCCTTCCTGCCTCAAATCATTTTTTTGATAAAGGTCGCTGAACTGTGCGACTGAAGCTAACCGCCTGTCTTGGTCTCACTGCTGCAGTTCCAGAGAATTCAGGTGTGCAGCCTAGCTCATCAAGCTGCCACAGCAGTTGTGTTCTATTTCTCATTCATGAGTGTTTGCAGAGGCTTTCTGTGTTTCAATGCTCTGATGTCCTATGAATCAGGTCACAAGAAAAATCAACATGTTTCATGCATACCTCAGCTAATTTCACCACAGTCTACAGTACCTACCGGACAAACGGGTTGGCAGTAAATGTATCCATGCATTTGGGGTAAAACTTTCTACATCCCCTTATACTGTTCAATGCTAATAAATTCACTTCAGCGCAACAGGACAAGAGGCATCAACCTGATCACAATGAATGTCTCTCCGTAGCTTTTCTCTGTTTCTCTGTAGTTGGTGGTTGTTGTTTCCCCTAGTTTTGGTGACTCAAACACCATTCATTCCTACCACAGCACCTCAAAAAATAAAAAGCCAGCTGTATAATTAAGAAACAATACACCGCAAACAAATTAAAAGCTACAAAAACCTACTAGAATCAGGTGCAGAGTTGGAATATGGTCAGAATTAAGATGCTGTTACTAAAATGCTATTCGTTTTCAGCAGAAAAAAAAATCAGAATTCTTTTTCAGAATTGCTGATTGTAAGATACAGTTACAATTGCCACAAACGAAAAAGCTGAAAGGTACAGATGAACAATAAAACTTGGTGTTCGTTTTTGGAAACGGGCAAGTCGGAATTTAGGGATGTAAGACTGAGGTAGGGAGATTTTGCAGTGCTTTGTAATGTCACACCGAAGCTGTAAATCTTTTTACTAGAAGTGAAACTTAAGTAAGCCGCCAGATTTACTGATTTTATTTTGACTTTCCTACTTGCCTTCTGCTTTAAGACTGAAACTCTTTCACATGACGGAAGCACAGTAATTGACTTTAGTTTCTAGCATGCTTAAAACATTAAAGGTTTTTAATAAAGGCTCCAGAAAACAGGGGTGGTTCTAACACTCACATTCAGGATAAAGTGAAGACACCCCCCTACCCTCCACCCCTCTCTGCAGAGACTTCTCCCCCTGGAAACCACCCAAGCTCACCTCACTCCCCCCCTCCCCCCCAGCTGGCAGAAGGCTGAGGTGCATCTGATCAGGGCACCAGGGCAGGCGTGACAGTGACAATCTGTCCTTGGGCCAGCATGTTGCCAACGTCCGGGTGTGTAAAAGCGATGCAATCACAGGCTGGCAGATCTTTTGGAAGCGGGCTTCAACAATGGATCATTAAAAAAATGCACTTTGCAATAAAGGATACCCCAAAACCAGGACACTTGGACAGCAGTTACATGTTAAAGGTGGCAAAAAGAATAGAAGGTGATTCTCTGCTTTGCTGAATCACCACCTGGGTGTCATCCTGTGCATTCATTGTGTTTCTAGTTACATTCATTGTGTCTCTAATTACATTCATTGTGTCTCTAATTACCCACAGATGAATTGGTGAAATACTGGATATGACACACAAGCTTTCCTAAATTTCCCTCTCCATTTTTTAATTCTAATCAGTCTCATATACCACCCACCTCTTTTTTCAGTGTTTTCTGTGGTTTTAAACAGTGTGTGGTGAGCCTGTGTGAAACGGCTACAGTGCATCTGCTTCAAAGAGGTAACTACGCTGCTCTCTGTACTCGGGCACATGCAGATCCTTGGCTGGGGCTCCATTCTGAAGAGTTCTGACATCAGGCTGTGTGAGAGAAACTCCGCGTCAGCGTGAGGTGTTACTGTTTTCTCTCAGTGCCAAACAAACAATTCACCGCACAGACAGGATGCATACCTGATCCATAAAGAAGATAATAGTAATCAAGTTAGGGAAAAGAACAAAGCTTCAAACCTTGTATACTCTTTCAGAGCCTTACATTCTGGTACTGGATACATCCTATATGTATCCAGGATTGTTTCATCCTACAGGACTTTGGTTGTCCAGTAGGAGTCCATGTGCACAATGTTTCACCCATGAGAAATTTCCATTCTGTAAATGAGGCACAGTTGCAGAAATCTCTCAAACTTGTTCCCCAGAGCAGTTCAGTCACATGCTAGCTGACCACAAGCATGTTTAATAATGACATTACCACATATTCACAAGGTACCTTCTTCCTTTTGTGTGCTGTTTTAGCTCTTTTGGTTTGCACGACCATTGACAGAACGTCACAGCGCCCAGGCTGCAGCCCCTGTGTAAGAAACGGAGTTGACTTGCAGAGCAGGAAAGTGGGCCACGCTTGATAGCAACAGAGGGATTTAAAAGCTAGCTCTGGCACCTTTTGTCCCTCAACCAATGACTTTAACAGAAATTTTCAAGAACAGAAGCAAGAAAGTTAGGAAATAGTATGTGTGCTGGGATCTCATAAATACATCCAGTCCTGCTGATTGGATAGCTTATCTGCTTGTCACCAACCTGTCTCCTCCTCCAGCCCCCATCCACAGAAGTGTGGTCTGTGGTTTAACAAGACTCGCAACACTCTACCTGTGCAGTGTTCTTCTGGTAAGAATGAGAACGCAGTGACATTATTCATCATTGCAAAGGTCCCTTTTACCAGAAAGGCAAGTGAAACACGCCTGAAGGTAGTTTTGCTTTCACTCACAGGCAGCTGAGTTCTCTGGCATGGCAGGGACCAAGAGCCTTTCTCTCTTCCCCTTGGCCATCTTCAGGGCGTCCGCCGGCCCTCCCGAAGCTGAGAGGGCGATGAGGGCAGCGATCGTGTTCACGTTGCTGGCTGTGGTCGTGGTGGAAGGTAAGATAAGGCTGTTCGCTCCCAGCGTGTGGCCATACATCTCAGTCACTTCACTCTGTCGGTTGTGTCAGGTAGATGCTGTTATCTTGCGATCGGTGGCGGCGCCTGCTGTGATAACCAAAAAGTCAGATAAAGCCTGTGTGAAGAACAAGAAAAAGTGTTCTGGGGGGACTTTGGTAGTAAATGTTTGTACAAAAACACAACGGGGAAAAGCTGCCGCTACACATTTCCAGCCTGACCATCAATAATGACAGAAGACAGAGCCGTGAAGACAAGATCACAGTCAGCCCTGGCGATCAGGAGGATGTGGCAGAGGTGGTCCCGAATTTTCTGATCCCTAGTGTCAAGCATAGTGTCCTGGTGTTGCCATTGTCAGAGAATCTCAACATCTTCCATCAAATGACTTTCCAAGAAGCTGACTCACGTTCCACCCACAGAAGAGATGCAAGAGTAGGAAGCTGGAGATTTAGCAGTTGGTTGATTTCTACCACATTATTTTTAGCAATAGACTTTCCCAACGATACGTTGAACTGACCTTTCACACTGTGTGGGTAAGGGAATAAGTATGGTACTGCGGAGAGGTAATTAACGAGCAGCAAGTCGGCCATCTTTACCTGCGGACTCAGTGTGTCAGTGATTCAAGACCCCCCGTGAAAACGCTTCTTGATGGATTCTGCAATAATAATGGGATTCTAATTAAAAATATGCGGGAGATTAAAGCCTATGTTTGCACAAGAGAAAAACGGTCGTGCTGTGCTGTGCTTTCGTTAGCTGGTGTCTTATATGTAGTGGAAATGTACTGGAAGACACGGATATACGACGGCTGCGTATTTTGTCAATCAATACTTGAAATGATATGACCTAAACCAACTCTTTTTGAAAAAGCAGGAGGGCTGCTTCAAACTGCATCATTAATACATTTTTAAAATCCATCATTTCCAACACAGTGTCCCTGAGTGGGAAAGTCTCGCCTGTGCTGCAGGCGGGATCGAAAGCCTTTTTTAAAAACTAAATTACTGTATAAGACAAAAATCCATACATACAGAAAGAGCTGTGCTTTCGTCAGAGTCTCTGTGAAATGCACTTTGGTTGTCAAACCCAGCAAATTTCCCAAAGGAAACTTTATCTACCCAGATTATAAATTATTTTATATCACTTAATGGCACAAACCCAGCTTTTCCCAATATTGAATGTTATTCCCTACCTCTTCCCACAGGAAAGAAGAGTTCTGAACCTCATAAGTGCAAGGCAGTCATAAGGAGCCCCACAGAAAATGCAACAGGTACTTTCCTTTTAAAAACCTCAGCATCACGGCATCGCTCACTCAAAACACTTCTACATTTTCAGGCACATGAAAAGCTGGTATCATACTTCATATATCATATACGTATACATCATATAATAGTTCAGGTGGGTAGCTGCGTCAGCATGCGTAGTCTGCAAAGGAACAAGTAATAGGTTTATTCCATGCTGAAAAAAAGAAGAAAGAGAACACAACGTTTCGGCCGTGGAGCCTTCTTCAGGTGCGAGCACCTGAAGAAGGCTCCACGGCCGAAACGTTGTGTTCTCTTTCTTCTTTTTTTCAGCATGGAATAAACCTATTACTTGTTCCTTTACATCATATAATACTGCAAATCTTAGTAAGGTAATGATGAGAAAACACAGAAGTCACCAAGGAGTTCAATGAGTAGAATGAGTAATAAATGGATTAATAATGCAAATGGTTCGTAAATCTGCCCTTGGTTATACATAACAGATAAGAGCTGACTTCCTTTGAGGTGTTAAATCTAGAGTATTGTTAAAATGTGGGTACAAATTACTGATAGTATAGTCACTGGAACTTGCTCAGCTGGTCAGGTAGCCTCTTTTCTTGGGAGTAGGTGGTGGGGGCAGCTAGCTACCTTCCTCATGGGGATCAGACAGGGATCCTTAGCTGTTCAAACCACCTGAGGCACCTCAGCTCCTGAAGTATCATATGACTGCTTTCATTGTGCACACATATGAGCTCTATTTTAGTGTGCAGGACCCAAGTATGAAGCTTTAGACAGCGATGCCTGCTGTGTGCTTCCTGCTGCATCTGTCATTTAGTAACATATCTTGGATGCCAGTTGGGAGAATCTCAGTCACTGTCATTGACGTTCTTTAAACTCCCCCACCCTGGTGTCTCTGTCTGCCAAGGAGACTCACTCGAGGCTCCATCTGACCTGCACTGCTACAAGAAGACCACGGATCCCAATGCGGACTTCACCTGCAAGTGGACACCTGGGATGTCCGCTGTGAATGCCACATACATCCTGCATTACTGGTGGGTTAACAGCACCTCTTCCTCCAGGAAGTGCTGTTGATGGACTTTGACATCGGAAAAGAATAACAGACATCCCAGCTGTCACTCCTCAGTGTTTGTGGATGTGGTGGATGTATTTAGGCAATTCATCCATTTTCTTACCACTTCATCCATTTCAGGGTCACGCAGACACGCACACTCACACCAGGGCCAGTTTTCCCAGAAGCCAATTAGCCAACCAGAATGTCTTTGGACTGTGGGAGGAAACCAAAGAGAACATGGGGAGACCATGCAAACTTCACGCAGACAGCAGCCTGGGACTGGAACTGAACCCAGGGCCCCAGGGCTTTTTTAGCCCTGCCACTCATTAGTTTATGTTTGACAAAATATTTTAGCAAGGTTATCATGAGATTACCGAAAGAGTGTGGTTTAGTTATGTCAAACACATTATTTTAGGTGCTAACAAGCGAGCATCGCAACAGCATTTTGCTAATGTTGTATTTGGAATGGGACACCACTGCGCAAAATGTCTGGACAATGTCCCACTAAATTACCGTGTTTCGGCTCTTTTGTAAATGTTACCGATGTGCACAGTGTTGGTTAGCAGGCATTCTCCTCTTCACTGTAGCTAATGCACTCTTGCAAGTGAGCTCCAGACATTTTGACTAAAAATGACTCTTTTCTCTTTTATCCTCACTTGTCTACATGAAACATCATCTATCAGGTGTTAGGCCAGTCTTGAATTTGATCTCAATCATTTTGAATTTCATTTTCTGCTTCAAGTGTTTGCCAATCCTCCTAACTTGGTATCATCTACAAATCTGGTCTAGTCTATTAACTATCCCACAATCTAGATAATTTACTTACAGTAAACTAGGAAGAGCACAGTACAGACCTAGTCCAGATCCACGTGGTACACCACTGATTATATCCGCCCAATTTGAGCACTCACTCATTCACTATGTAGTATGTACACTCTTTTGTCAATTCAGCCACAAGCTTTTCCCTGAACGCCTTCTCCCTGCAATCTGAGAATTAATATTTAATGAAGAACTTTATCAAAAGACTTCTGGAAAAAAAATCTGTCTAACATCACAATATTCTTCTAACATAACAATACTGTAAGTTGACATCCTTTCTAATTTGATGATCTTAACCTAGTAGAATGCCATTGCTTTCTTATGGATAGCTTGTGATATACATTTTGCTCACCAAATCTTACAAAACTGTTGGGTCTGTTCCAGTGTCCTGAACAAAATGGAGGACTGCCACAGCTTTGATGCTGGCCTCTCCCATTCCTGCTTCCTGAATAGGGATGGCCTACACACTAGAATGGGAATTGGGATGTGGGTGGAAGCCCACCAAGGATACAGAACCTACAAGTCTCCTGTGTTTTCCGTGGTTCTGATCCATTCAAGTGAGTTGCACTGCCTCTGGTTTTGATTTCCTGCCCTCATATTTCAGTGATAAGGATCTGGGCTCTTTGCTCTAAAAAGTTGATGGCGCTCTGGGTTACAGGTCGGTGTGGAGTTATTTAATTAGAGTTTAATTGTTATTTATTTAATTGAATTAAAGGAAGGATCAGTCATACGTAATTTGAATGTGGCCCTTATGTGACAAGTTTATGTACCTTCACAGATCGTTAGGACACTATAGCAACATTAATACTGATTTATTACTATTATTCCAATACGTCAGTTATCACAATAATACTCAACAGCTGGCACACTAGAGGGGACACCATGTTTTAGGGTTAGTACTGGGGTTAGGGTTAAGAGTAAGGGTGAGACTGGGTTTTGGGTTAAGCACATAGCCAGTTGAATACGTACATGCTCTGGAAGACAGGGTTCAAAGAATCAAATGAATGGCTTTCTCGCACCATGTGCAGCCCCTGTGAAGGTCTTACGCTGACTACATAAAACCCCAAACATGGAATATGCCATTTAAATTGGCTGGAAGGTAAACTTTAACGGAAGGACCATTAAAAAATTATCCTATATGAACACAATAAGGAATGAAATATAGAACTGAATTAGAGATTTTAATAGAAACTCTTCCATGTGTGTAGAAATGAATTCCCTTGTGACTTTCTGTCCCGCTCATGACAGCCAAGTACGATCCCCCGCAGATTGAGAAGATGTCGAGGTCTTCGGGGGGCCTCGTCTTGAAATGGAGGAAACAAGTGGGAGAAGACAAAGGCTCAATGAATGAGATCCAGTTCAGACAACTGGGAGAACTGGAATGGAGCAGTGTAAGTCCGCCCCGCCACTGGCCTGGATAAGCCATCAATGGCAACACAATGTCATGACATTAACATGGACAAAGTGCACAAATACTTTTTCTTGGTGTAAAGGGACACAGTAATGCTCTTACCCACAGCATTACAAACATGGTGAATTTACCACGTATGAAACATGAGCTGAAAGAATGAGAAATTTAATTTTTCTCCTTTATAGTAACACAGGATCCTCTTAATCAATTTAATTGAAAAGGCGAAAACATTTGTGCAGCAACACAAAGAGAAACATACAATAGCTTTGTTCTTTTACTCATGACCTTGAAGTATATTTATCAGGCCTGGGTCATTCATGCATATATATATATCTTTTTATTACTTTTTAGATTATGTGCAATACTTCAGATGGCAAACATACTGAAGGTAAGACTCTGGATTCCTCTCTTGTTATTTAAAATATTCACCTTAGCACAGATGAAAGTTAGTTATTATTTAGAAAATTACATAAAAAGGACATATGGCTGAATCCAATCCAAAATGCTAAAAGGAAGGAAAATTAGTCCATAATAGACACATACTGTGAGTGAAAGCTTACAACATTTTTAAATAATGTGCCAACATTTTTAAATCAGCGAAGGACCTGAAATAGAGTTAGCATTAGCCACCACAAACATGTATCTACTGTACATTAACTAGTCTGTTTTAAGCCAGCAAAGGTCATAAAAGCTCATACAGACAGTCTAACAAAGTGTTTATAACGCATCAATGCGTGCAAGTTGTGTAACCTACTGCATGTTGTGGTTTGAGCTTCGCAAACTCAGCAAGATCTCTGTTCACCTCAGAAGTCGAAATGTGCTCCTGCCTAGAATGCTCATCTTCGGAACTGCTTATCTCTGTGGCTTTGGGTTTCGAAGAAAAAAAAGTCTGAACATTGTGAAGAAAATTAAATAAAAATTGACACACACAGCTGTTTACCATAATTGCTATTGAAAAGAATTTCAGAACTGTTGAACTGTTCCTGTTATGCAAAACAACTGCGTCTTGATCAATTATCGTGTTAAAGTTTACTTGTAATATTTCCCCATGATGGAAATTCATAAAATAAAAGAGAACATGATAAAAAGAGAACACACAGTCTTTCCTCCTGACTTAATTCTTTACAAGTCAACAGAATGTGAAAATATAATAAGATTTCATGATATAGCTTTGACTAAGAAAGACAAACCCACATGTCCTGTTGTTGCCCTGACCTACATTAATTAGAGTCACTGCCTTTCCTTCCTGCATTTATAACACTATGTCCCTCAGATACATTCACTCACCACAGCAGCCCTTTGCTTGCTCCAGTGACCGGAGGGATCCGTCTCTTTATGTCAGTATGTTGAAGGAAAACGACACAGTGGCACAGTATTTAGTATTGCTGCCTCACAATCCTAGGGCCCTGTTCAATTCCCGGGGTGCTGTCTGGGTACAGATTGTATGTTTCCCTCAGACTGTTTCTCCAATTTTATCTGGTTGCTCTGGTTTCTTCCCAGTGTCCGAAGACATGCTGGTAGGTTAATTAGGTTAACTGGCTCCTGGGAAAACTGAACATGGTGTGACTGGTGTGAATGGGTACACATTCCACTTGTTTCTGTTGTTTTTCCTTTTTTGTGCTCTTATAATAAAATATAGTTGTTGATCTCAAAAAAGGCAAAACCCTTTCTTTGCAGAGAAATGCACTCTGACACTGCACAATCTGACTGTGTATGAAGTCCGTGTGAGACGCACTAGCAAAGTGATCAACTGGAGCGAGTGGAGCCGAACCGAGATTGTCCCAGCAGGTAAGCCCCCGGGGTGTTTGTGTTTGTGGTGATACAGCAGGAAAACATATTATTGTGACTGCAGCACTACCGCCTCCTAGTCTAACTTGTCAGGTCTCAGAAGCTGAGCAAGGCTGGGCCTGCCCAACACTGTGAACTGAGACCTCCAGGCATAACTGCTGCTGTCAGTGGTGTTGTGGGACCAGCAGGTGGCGCTCTTATCCAAAAACAGAATGTCCAGAATGTGAGCCGCCTCACAATCTTAACCGTTCTCCTCCTTCCTGCTCGCAGAAATTCACAAGGAGCCTCAGGTGAACATGACTGTGGGCAAACTGCTCAAAGGCGTCCGCAAACTGAGGTTGTCCTTGGAGGTAAGCGAGTGCTCCGAGACAGCCAGAGACACTTCTTATGCGTTCAGGTTTTTGTCAGCCTCTTCAGTTTTACATCTGGACAAATGTAGACTTTACAATGGAAGCCTATTTCCACAAATCTGCTGTGGAGGTCAATGTCAATTTTCTGTCTAAGGCTGATGAATTTTGAGATAAAACCAAAAGCAAACTGTAGGTCCTTCAGGATGCCAAACATATCCTTAAGGGCTGAGTGGGAAATCCATCTGTACCTTAGAGGTTTTAGATCGAATTTTCTATTCCAAATCCTATCCCGAATCCAAAGGAGTTTCTGATTTTCACCTCACCTTCCCTCTTAGTTTCTTAATTGAACTAGTGATGATTGATTAACACATCAATTGTTCATACTGAACTCATGTCAAATCAGAATATACCCAGGACATCTTCCTTGTTATTCACTTTGCTCAGCACCCAACTATGCTCTAATCTAATTTTATACTCATATTACATACCCAAATAGTGTGTTCAGCTTTGCATTTTCTCATGCAACAAACTTAGTGCCAAAGCAGCATTTAATTTAGTTTATTTTTTCCTTTAGGTTCCGATTGCTCGTGCTCTACTGGGAAATGTACAGTACAATCTAACGTTTCACAGCCCACCATGTCAGGAGGATATTCCCACAATGACTCTTAACGCAACAAAGATAACAAAACCCATCTCTGGCTCAGAAGTGAAGGTGTCCATTGTAGCATTCAACAAAGTAGGGTCATCCCCGCCTAAACTGCTTAAAATTCCTGCTGTGGACCTTAAAGGTAAAAACAAAATCAAAATACCCAGGATGTCACTTGCACTGTAAGAATGAAAATGCACAAGTCTCAGTATAAGAAGTTCGAGCAGGGAGCTGTGTCAGCATGTGTAGGCCGCAAAGGAACAGGTAGAAGTTAATACCATGGTGAAAGGAAAAGAGAAGACAGTTAAAGTTTACACTGTGAAAAACACTGTTCTTTAACATACAGTAATTAAAGTAGTTTGTGTCAAAGTTTAAACATTTTCAAATTATTCAGGGTTAATAAGACTGAATTGAACATAACAGATTCACAGGGCCCACTCTTCCTGGGTCTTCTAAGGAATACTCTAAGAAATACTTTTGGCTTTGGTGATGTTATTAATATTAAGTATTAAAGTTGAGAATCAGAAATTCCCTGAAAAACTCGCAGGACTGTGTCTGATTTAACATGCCATTTAAACTTTTACGACAGTTTTTGGATAAAACACAGCTTTACATTTTCTCTTTACTCTATAATTGATGCTAGACATCATTTTTCAAATTACAGCCTAATTTAATCTGGAATACGGAATTAATTCATTCTCATTTATGAAACACATACAGTATGAAACACCTTTAAATATGACAGACTAGACCATATTACAAGACGTTCTTGAAAGTCTTTGCCGAAGAGAGCAGAGAGAAATAACTGTTAGCCACAGATATAGGTTACAGCTGTCATTCCTGTTCAGAATGCAAAACAATTTTATATTCCTTAGTATAGGTCTTATGCTCTGTGTTGCAGTAAAGCTGTTTTTCCTCTTGCAATTTACTGCCTGCTCCTTTTTTTCCCTATTTTAAAAAAGAAAGAATATGGAATCTGTGATTTTTCAAGCAATGCTGATACCTGTCCTCCTTCTTATCAGTCATAGATTTGTGTAGACAGACCTTGGTGTGGTATTATATTATAGTGTCCTGAAAGTTCAGGACGAACTAAAACCCTTCGTCTTTTCTTGTCCTGGACAGATCTCCATCCCTTTAGCTTCAAGAACCTCACCAAAAACATGAAATGGTGTGTGGAGTGGTACAAGGCGACAGCACCCCGAGAGAAGAGTCGGCATTTTATAACACGCACTCCAGTCGATTTTAAAGACATGATTAATAGCACAGGAGGTAACTACTTTAATGCACCTACTATTTTATCTTAACTTCATGTCTTCTGTGCAGTACACAGGAGTACGTGTTTCAATACCAGAGGAAAATTACGTGGGCTATAAAAAATTTTACTATTCCCTGCAGCAGTTGGCTGTGAGTTAATTAAAGGCAGCTTTAAAACCAGAAAAAAATACATTCAGAGAACGAATTCACTCTGCAACTGTCCTAATATCTTAACTCTAATATGGTGCAGCTGCCCCCTGGTATAACTTGTCCCTTGGCCAGGAGGCTGACCCTCAGCCTAACAGGTTGAGCCAAATATCGCTATACTGAAATAATCATTAATCATCCTTAAATCTAGCTGAGATGAGAAACACCTCATAACTAACTGACCCTCCTGTGTTTTATAAAGTATTCTCTTTTCTGCCGTCTACTGTAGGAGAAGCTGAAGACTTCAAGCTCTACTATTTCATTATTCACCAGCTGACCCACAGAGGCACGATGAAGACAAGAGGATGGTCTGAAGGATACCAGAAGGAAGGCAGTAAGTTATGGCTTGGCTTCCACCAGACACACATCTGTAGGACGTCCCATGCAAAATGCAGCAGGCAGCGTGTCCTCACGTGTGCACGCTGTTAAGAAACAGCCGACCTCCAAAAAAAAGTGTTTTTTCCCAACTCTGGCTCATCAGTAAGTTTAAGATGTGCATGTATTCATATTTTTAAATATAATTAGACAGGGCCCTGGGTTCAAGTCCTAGTTTGCTACCTGCATGTAAATGTTATGTTTCCCCATGTTTCCCTGGGTTTCCTCCCACAGTTCAGAGACATGCTGCTAGGTTTACTGGCTTCTGGGAAAATTGGTTTGTGTCTGTGCCCCAGCGCTGTGAGTCAGCAAAACTAACCACTGCGCCACTGTGCCGCCCACTCAAGAACAAAACAATTTCCTGGCACTTTTGTGAGGTGTCTGTTATTGTAAATACTGTAAGTTACTCTGTATTGGGTATGTATCTGTCTTACTTGTTGTGGATCCACAGTCCAGTCTTGTACTTTTCCGTTTATCCCACCATCCTGTGTCAAAGTTACAGAGCCTGTCTCACCCCTTGATTAAACTGAGGCTTCCTGGCCATCAACAAGAGCCCGGGGTGGAGTTTAGGGTATTGAACCTGGCACTCATGGTGCAGCAAGTCAGTCCTGTCTGAGTGTAGTAACCTTGAACGTGTGACTGTAACACAGCCTGCTGTTTGTCAATACAGTAGTAACTTTAGTAATAGAAATAGATGTGTATATAGTTTGCAGCACAAAAGCACTTCATTAAACAGAAATTTTCTTCGCACCGCCTTTTCATGAGTTCCTGTGTTCACTCACAACACAGGCAAGCTTTCTGCGATGTCTCCACTGCATGCACCATTTTCAGTTTGACATTGTTTTAAAACATTTTGGTTGTGGTTTATCACAGCACCTAGGAGTAGCCCCAAGAAAGTCACAGTGCTCAATGTAACAGTGAACTCCGCCGTGGTGAAATGGGCCCCCATACCTGTTCCAGACCAGCAGGGCTTTCTACAGCACTATGTCATCTACATCACAGCCGGCAACCGCACCAGGGAAGGTAATAAAGAAGCACATGTTGCCCAGTTCTGGCTGTGTAATGTGATGATGCGTATGACCTCTTCTGACTGAGCCAGCCCTGTGCAAACTCTATTAAACTGGACAATCAAAACTGCAGATGAGCAGTATCATTGATCAAATCTGGCAATGCCATGCACAGAGAAGCTGAGAGAGCACTCATTTTCACGTCTCTTTTTCCTACCATGTGAAATGTGTCTCTTCCTTTCTAACACAATACATATAAATATATACTGTATCAATGCTAATGTTGTCTAAATGTGCTTTCAGTCTAACATGGAACGTGGAGCTTTGGAACCTCCTCAGGGCACCTTTGCTCTCTTCACTTATTTATTTCTCCTTTCTTGCAGTTCAGGTTGATGCCTCAGAGACTCATTACAAAATTCAGGAACTCACAGCTGCCACCACCTATAGTGTCCAGATTGCTGGGAAAACAGCAGCAGGTCTTGGACCGAAAAGCGATGCAGAACCCATCCTAACAAGCAATATACCCCCCACCAAAGGTAGGCTCTTGCTGTGGCAGTAAAGTATGTGGTGTAGGCCTTTCTTTGATAAACTGAGTTTTTCCTCAATTGAACACTGTCTAATGCAAGTATTTTCTCTTAGGTTGGAATGTGATCTGGATCACCATAGCCATTGCTATATTTACACTGATTTTCACAGGCTTGGGCAGCTTTGCAGCCAAGAGGTAACTGAACATTTGCTTGGTATTACTTCTGTAAACTCACATTTCTGTGCTTCAAAGATGAGTTGGTACATTAGTTGGTCTAAGAGGCAGAACTGAAGCACTGGCTACGAATTCATGATGAATTCATGAACAGCACCTCACTATCGACTTCATTATATGTTTGAACCTTTAGCCAGTGTTTAAGAAGTTTGCATTTGTAGTACAGAGAAAGGGGGAATTCAAATCATACAACATCACAAACCACATAAAACATTCTGGTGTTATTCTCGTGCCAATTCGTCAGAATTTGATGTGCAATCACGAGTGCTACCTTGATATCTCACTGTGGAAATTGTCCTCTTTGTTTCTCCCTATCTTTTAAAACTATCTTAGGAAACCCACTTCTGAAAAGTGTGTATAAAGCTGAAAATGTTATGGCAGGTGAAGCAGGTGTTTAGTTTTTCAGAAAACGTCATGAATTATGTACAGAAGAGTAAAGACAATCCTATTGATTTTTCAACATTTCAGGCTCAAAAGAAAGTTCTTTCCTGCTGTACCTAGTCCAATGAGCACTGAGGCGCTGACCTTAACCAATCTGAAAATAAAAGAGGTGAGAAAAAAACATTTCATACATGGAATTCATTTGCAGAGTACTCCTGAGTATTTCACTTTCCAGAGGAAATTATTTTAGAAAATATTAGCTTTGAACCGAGGTGAACTGACACCCATGCTGTCCTTTAAAAGTACAAGAAAAAGCTCATGATCACAATTGGTCCATTCAGCTAACAGCAGCTGGCTCAATCTGCATGAGAAGTGTGTAGCATCTTCAATGGTTGTTTACAGCCTGAATTGCACTTCCTGTTTGCTGTTTTGTTTTTGCGTTCAGCAGAGCTCAAATCAGCCTTCTATCTTACGGCGCAGAGCCCTGAGGAGAGCCTGGTCTGCTGCTACTTCACAGTCCTCAAAACCCATGTGGCCTATCAAGTGCTGAACTATTCCCACTGTAGAGAATAGCCTCTTCGCCCTTCCAGGGTGTATTCTCATCTAGGAGTGGAGTGTGTGCTTGCCAGTGGAGTGTATTACGATGTACTGTAGCAGGGAATGTGCTCATCCATTTTAAGTTGCAAAACAAGAGAAACAAAAGCAAGCATTTTTTACTTAAGCGGTTATTTAAATGCTCCAAAATTATTTTCATGCCTCGCACAGTTATAATGGTAATGGAACACTTTTTGCTGACATCACGATTTAATATCCAATGTCACAATTATGTGAAGAATTTAAAGGTGTGTGTGACAGCTATTTCTTCAAGTACTTCACAAACCCAAAAGCACTGTGTATTACAGAACCAAGAGGGATTGTCTGTGTTGATCTAGTCTAGTCTTTTTAAACACTTGAGATTTTGTAAATTGGAATTACCCCTCACAGGGGCATCTGCTGACCTTGAAAAGATAACAATAGTAGTAAAAGTAGTAACAATAGTAAAAGGACAACTATTATTTTTTTACTAATGGACACTTCTTTTTAACATATATCAATGCTATAGATTCTTTTATAGCTAACGAACTTGTCACAACTGCAGATAATACAAAAATAGAATAATCTGTAAATGCTGTAGGAAAGTAAATTTAATAAAAAATCTAGAATTCAAGTTTGGGTGAGCATGCAATTCCCAGAAATACGCATTCAAGATATGCATAGGAAATGAAGTAGCTTTCTAGGAAAAAGACTGTTCTGACACATAAATGAAAAATAAGACAATATGACACATTTTCATCTTAATCCAGACAACATGGGCATGCAATAAGAAATGAGCAACAGTGTTAGGATACATAGTTGAAAGTGTAGAACTTATATCAAATGATTTGGAAATTGTATGCATTCATACATTCATGAGATCTCTTTAAGAATGTTATTTCAGAATATTCCTGCTTTGAAATTAGTATAGAGGAGAGCAACCAGGTACTGTACATTCCGGGGGTCAAAAGAATGTCCTACACTGAAAGTCTACAATACAATAATGTCTTTAGTCTAGAACAGAGAAGATTGTGAAGGGCACTGATTTAAATGTACAAATGCCTTGCCTTGTCAAAGACATACTGTAGACCAAACTAAGCCACTGGCTGACTTGGTCACACACGAAGGACACTCTATATGTGAGAAGGGGGGGCTGATGGACACCTCACTGCTCTCCACAGGAAATTCTTCCACAGGATGAAGAGGTTCTCATGGGAGACTTGCAGGTGGTGCTCCAGAAAAGCACTGGTCTGCCCTCGGAGGACGTGGTTTCGATGGAGCTTGGAGAGACCGAAACATGCGAAGGAGACACCGAGACTCTCTCGGAGTCGTGCCGCACTCCAGATGCAGAGTTCTTCTTAAGCTCTGATTACCGGAGGCAGATGCTCAACCTCCCTGCGTGTGAACCAGGCCAGGAGGCGCTGGAGCTCTCGGAGAACATTTGCAGCTACGGAGAAACTGCTTGCGAGGTGGCGACACCCACCTACAAGAACAGCCTGGTCTTCGAAATGAAAGGGGAAAGTAACACCAGTGAGGAGAGTATTCCCATGAGGCTGTAGGAGTTTACAGTGAAAACACAGCTGTGAGAAATGCATATACTGGTAGGATACTCAGTGATCTTAAAGACAAAAGGGCACCAACTATAAGCATGCATGGTACAGCATTATCATGCCATGGTACCTTTAACTGTGTGGGTGAGAGGAAATAAACATCTACAGAAACCAGCCAGGCAGACGTGCGGAAGAAAAGACGGAAAGGCAAGGTACAGCTCTGCATCTGCAAAGGAAAAGAACCTGGGCTTCTCTAACCTCCGAGACTGGAGGGTTCTGTAGGGATGGATGAGAATTACTGAAGGCGCACTCACCTACTGAATGTTCCTGCCTCTAAACAGTCTGTGGCTCAAGAGTCAGCAAGTCTAGGAGAGCTCCACTTGACGTCTAGTGGCACGGAATTAACTATCTCAACATGTAACAGGGGCCAACTCTGTGAGGTGCTTTACAACCACGCAAGACAATGTTATCGTACATGAGTTTTGATAGGTAAAACGTGTAGTGGTACAGAGAATGCAGTAATGTGCAGCCTATTATTACTACTGGCTAGTCAGACACCTTTATCCAGGGCAATGTGTATTGTATGCAATGTTACCTTTTAAAATTTTTACTGGATGAGCTTTTCTCTAGGAGAAGAGAAATTGAAGAGAATATTGCAATAGCCTGTTGTATAAGCAGAGAGAACCCAGGCTACAGCCCACACTGTCTGTGTTTAGCAGATAAACAGGATTTTAGAAATGATCTGTTTCATATATCTTTTAAGAGGAAAACTTTATCAGTTACAAACTGAGATTTTTTAAATAAAAACTGTGTAACTTTGGGTTTAAGGGACTTTCAACATGTCCTATAGTCGTGTTGCAAAATACAGATCGGGTGTTTTTTTTTTCATTATCTGAAAGGTACAGGCTGACCCAAAAAATAAGAAAGTCACAACCCAAGCAAAACCGCCTTCCACTTCAAAGAATTAAAAAGCAGTCATCTGGTTGAACATTACAGCGTATTTTGAAAAGGGTTTTACTCAAATTTGTAAATGGACAAAATTTCACTTATAGTCCCGCTCTTAATTAATATCATTCCTTCAAGATAAATTAGTATTATTTTTGTGCTTCCAGACCTCAATGGTCATGATATGTAAGTTCCACCCATTCTAAGTCAATAAAAGTTTCTGAATCTGAGCTGCCTGCTCTCAAAGAGTGACAAATCTTACTCTGTGCTTAAAGGACCAAACGTGTACAAAAGTTTGACTACGGTTTCGCTCTTTACTAGTGTGTATGTACAATATTCATCTGTGAGGCTAATAATTCAATCACATTTGATCTTTCAGAATCATACTGACGCAAAGGAAAGGTGTTAAGTTTTTACACCAGTCTCATAGCGAGAGGAAACTTTGTGTGGGGTCAGGAAGTGACAGTGTGTTAAAAAAGTTAAGGAAAGTATCAGAAGCATGTTTTTGTGCCGGTGACAAGATTTTGTTCTCATTTCTGGTACCTTCTTTTGTGGTTTTGGTATCAGTAGTGTGTGGTTTGACCTATTTAAAAAAAACCTACCATAATGTAATTTCTTTCTTTTTTTAAAAAAATCTGGAAATTACATCTTGGTTTTACCTGAAAACCAGAGAACGACACTTAAGATTTCTTTTTGATGTCTAAAAAAACAAGTCTGGGGTTTGTGCAATTCATAATGGATGAAATTCTAAACGTACAAAAATCTCAATGAGCAAACCATCTTTCCTTATCTGGACAAGTGGCCAGATTAATATCGTTGCACTCTCGTTTTATCAGTGCCTCATGCTCTGTGGTATAGTTTGTAGATAAGCAGGTTTGTCTTGTTGTGACATGCGAAATGATTTCATTGAATTTTTTTAAGAACATAACAGAAAACTAAGTTCAAAGTGCTACTTGGTCATCTCCTTTGGTCATCAGGAACGATGTGCACTGAATGCAGTCGTAACTATTTAAATTATATTAGTACCTTACTGATGCACGGCAGAACGGTACATCAGGGTCGTTTTAATTTTATTAAAAAGGGAGAGAAGGGGGTTCATTGAAACAAACTGGATATTTTTTTATCAGTCAGAATCTATTTCAATATGTCATCCAAAATAGTGAAGACAATACTACACTAATGAATGTCTCATTGAGCTCGCACAGATCACAAGCATCACATATATAATGCTTCTCTGGAATAAGTCCAAAGATAAGTGACCAGGCTACATGGTCAGCCAGTACCTGGCTCTAAACAAGATCTTGAACTGACAGACTGAAAGAAATGATCCAGTAAAAGTTAAGTCCGTGCTGAAAGGTAGAAATAGAACACTAAGAGGAGACCTGATTCAAGATGTTAAAATCCTCAAAAGCACTGACAAATCCTATCCAGTGAGACACAAACTAGAGGAAGACTAGTGAAGACCAGACCAGTGAAGACTCAAGTGAATTTAGAAGTGAGATGAGGAGGCACTCTCCTTATGGGAGAGAGGAACGAGCTGACCAGCCGATACCCTTGGCCTCTTCCAAGAAACAGCTGGATAAGATTCAGAGATAAAACAACAAAAACGCTCTACACCTTGTTTGTAATTTTTCTCATAACCTTATTTATGAGTGGAACACCGCAGTCTTTATTTGGTCATTTGTGACATCAATAAAGAGGAGTTGATGGCAAAAACAAGATTGAAAAGCTGAAGAGATGGGGACGTGCGTTTAGGAAACATCTGTATGATTTGGCCACAATATTGATAACACAACCAATAAACATCAGTATGTGTGTCACCAGCTACTACTGTTTCTGTTATACAACTGCATATTATATCAAGCTTTCCGTGAATTAATGTTTTTCTAACTCTGAAAGCGTGCAGCTAATATAATATACTATTTAATCAAAATTAAAAACATTACAGCAAACAAAATCTATAGTTTTAGCAAAGCTGCAGAAATAAGTCATGAAACAATAGCTTATACTCAAACATTAGTTTATACGGAAAGCAAGGTTTTATTGTGAGGTGCAGAAACGTTTCTGTCAGTATTACTTGAGAAGGCCACAAGGTGGCACCAGTTCACGCAGATGGTGGTAGCAGGAGCATTTTGGATAAAAGCAAAGCTACAAGCTGAGAGATCACTCCCGTCACTTGATCATCGGCGTTTTTCTTCTTTTTTGTCACTAAGACACAATATCCATTTTCCTTAGGAAACAGACCTTAGTCATAAAACCGGGAAGTGATCAATGTTTTTGAGGGACTCACAGATAAGCTGTGCATTACCTCTGTGGTTCACACTTGAATTAGTGTTTGTAATGCTTGTGTTGGGGTTTGTTCCTGTCTGGTGTTTAAATACACCAACTATTCCTGTACAGGGTGCACTCCACCTATTGCTTGCGAGGATAGACCATTGGCAAGGATGAAGTCATTAGAAATCTTAATGAATGGATGTATTCCTTTAGATCTCGCAGAATGACACTGACTGGATGTGCTTGTAATAACTGCTTCATTTCAGCTTCATGTGCTGAGTAATTGTTCAGAGGAAAAACTAAAGAATAGCTACAAGGCTCATTCCAAGGACTTAAGGTGTTTCAGTTCTAAAGCCTCAGAGCGTATCCCAGCAAGCAATGGGCGCAAGACAGGGCACACCCAGGATGGGACACTAATCCCTCCCAGATCACACACAGGCACACACTCACGCCAGAGCCGATTTTCCCAGAAGCCAAGTAAGCCACTTGTATGTCTGTGAACTGTGGGAGGAAATCAGAGCATCTGGAGGAAACCCACACAAACACACAAACTCCACACAGACAGCACTCCAGGTCTGGATTCGAACCCAGAGCCCCAATGCTGCGAGGCAGCAATGCCAACCACTGTATCACTGTGCCGCCCACATTAAACTATATATCCATGAAATTCAAAGTTTCATGGTCTGTGATCCTGTTTGCCTATGGCCTTGAGCTCCCTGCTCCCTAAGATCTCCAAAAAATCCCATATCCTCAAGAAGAGCATACATAACAAACAGCATGTGAAGGGTTAAAAAAATTAAGCGATGGGAAGACTGTTTGCACCTGAACTGCAACTCTTCACTGGCACAGAGTCAGCTGGACTGCAAGAGACGAGGCCTGGAAGTAGTACTACTGGCTCTCAGAACTGTTAGGCTTCAAGGGGCCCTGTCAACATAACATCCTCAATTTTATGGGTTTTGCAGAGAAAACCCTACAGTTGAGCACAGGCTCTGCGTCAGTTTATTTCACAAACATGCCTAGGCTTGCTCCGATCCTCTAGGAGGGAGGAAGCTGACCTTATTCAATTGCCAAATGTATAAACAAACACACCTCCTCTGCCTAATGAAATATAGTCGAAATCAGTTTTATGGGTCTGTCTGTGGGTACAGGGAAATTTAAGAATGTGACTCAACTTTGTTAAGGGAGGTGAAATAGTTTATGTTCTGTGCAAAGGCATTTTATACATTCTACATATTTATGCATTTTAGACTTTGAAAGGAACCTGTCAAGTCACGACGTGTTAAAGTATTGTGAAATTATCTCAAACGGATTTGCAATATTCTGATCTATGACCTCACCTCTGAAATCACAATGTCTTGACAGTTGTTATAAACCTTGTTATAAACCACATGCTCTGGGAGAGGATACAAAAAAAGAGTATACTGAATACTGTATGAACACTTTCATTGCCCTTGCTTGACTGCAGTAGCCAATTTAGAATTTGGCTTCTGATTTAATTATTCCTCTTTTTGTACAAAATGTGGATTTAGCAATTACTTAACTCCCCAGCAGTGACTCCAGCTCATGTGGAGGAGCTGCTCTGACATGCTGCCCACCCATCTGTTGGTATGCTGCAGACTCCACAGCCCCCAACAGGAGAGTGAGTGTTGATTGGAGGACAGGCCTGTCTCTCAGTTATGTCACTGTACGCCTGCAGGCACCCGGCAGATCCCAGAAGGCTCTCCTTAGTTGCTCATGGCAAGTATTCCCAACTCTATCCTCTTAGTCAGCTAGTAAAATGGTATGGGCTTGATCCAGTGATGTCCAGATCATAGTTCAAGAGTTCAAATCTCAAAGCTGGGCGCACAGTGTTCAATGAATGACATCTTGAAGAGACTTCAACCTTTCACTGTATGACACACTTTTACCAGATTCCTAGACACGCTGAAGGGGTCTCAAGGGTAACGCTCTGTATTGTCCAGTAATGTATAAGCCCGGGTAACATGCTTGAGTATCCCATGGTTCATTGCTCTACACGCAGAGAGCAGCTTGGTAGCTCTTTCCAGTCAGCAGAGGGTTGGGGTTACATGAGTCTCAACCTTCGGAAAAGCTTTAGTTCTCATTAGAGTCAATGACAAACTCCAACCAGATCCTCACCGTATCGTGCAACATTTTAGAGTCTTTCAGAAACCATTCCATATACATAGTGATGTATTATCACCTGAAAAATGGAAAACAAACATACCAGGATTGTGATGTGTGATTATTTCAGTATTCTTACAAGCCTTTCTGTTTGTCTTTAAAAATGTAATGAGTAAGATACCAAACAGAGTTGTGTTTAATGGTTAAGGTGTGACTCTTTTCAAAACCCTACTGACTCATTCATTAAATTCATTAAACCAACATTAATTCACATTTTCTCTGTTTCTACAGAGTTAAACAGAGATAAGTACACGTGTCTGTGTATTCTCGACAGGTGGTCTGAATCATGTCCTTAATGCAGGTGCTCGAGGTCTGGCTCCAGCAATAATTGGTTTGAAAAGTTTCCCAGTGTTTCAGTTTCATAAAAATTTAGCCATCCATTCTCTAACTGCTTCATCCAGCTAAGGGGAAAGCAGACTATCCCAGCCAACAATGGGATACAGAAAGGACGCAAGCCAACATAAACTCACGTGAACATTTATTAGATGTTATTTTTATTAAAATATAATAACAAAACCTAGTGTGTGTCTTCAGGCCGCGGACCACGAACCCCTGTTCTACCAGCACTAACTCTTCTGCAGGCACCGAAAGGTTAACAGTCTGAAAAATGGCGGATGGCTCTCCAGTTTACATTTCAAAGAGAAACACACAGACATCATCTGACTGCCTTGCTGCTGCTGGAGCTGTAGTGGAGTACTGAGCTGATGCACAACAGGAGATTCCAACAAAACATTAGAGGAGGACATTCAAAGAGAGTAATGGGCAATTCCAGATTCTTTCCAAATCAAAACTATACTGAGAAACTGCAATAACTGGAGCTCTGAAACTCTGAAATATCTCTATGGGATTACCAGCAAACAATTAGTCATTTCTAGATAATACATAGGACTCGAGAATGATGAGTTAGAGACTGTGCTTGGAATGTAACCATGGAAATAATACAAGAGAAATTCAGGGAAACATTTGTAACAGTGCAGCAGAACACCCCAGCACAAAGCGTAGATACTGTATAAATCAGACTGAGCTCCGTCATTCTTTAATCTTCCAAGCAAATTTCAGGAAACCCTTAAATCACCCGCTTTGCCTGTTACAGTGCAGTGTGATCACTGTGGCTGTGTTTCCTCATGGAAAGCAGTGACAGCCTTTTGGATTCACTATGTAAGCAGACCTAAAACTCATTCCACAGATCCTCATCAGATTTAACCTCTTAAAATAAATTAAAATTATGTGCATGAAATTCCAGTCAAACGATGTTGGTGTTGTATACAGTACTTCATAATGAATTTTACCAAGAATGTGTGTAGGTCTAGAGCCATAAGAAATGTACAGAATAAAGTATCCCTATGGACATCAATTCTCGTTAAAAACATATACTTTCTATATAATATTTCTATATAATATTCTATATTAACCTTGTCAATTTTAATCCATGGGGTTATTCAGCCACCACCATGCCATAGTAATAATCTAAATTATTATTAATCTAATCTCCACAGGCATCTAAATTATTTTGTAACTCTTTCGTTTCTATTCATTCACTAAAACAGGTTAACTTCCATTTGTTAAGAACGGCCGAGGGTGATCTCAATTTATAAGCAGATGTACATTTAAAGAAAAGATCTAAAAAGCACAGTGTATCTATCACACTTAATAAACTCACGAAGCTCCAGTTTCTACCGACTGATGTATTCAGAATGTACTAAGCTGTACAGGTATGAAACACAATGGAAATGGAAAGGCAATGGAACATAACCTCCACACAATGCGAAGAGGGCTGGAATGCAACATGCACAGAATAACAAGACAAGGCAGGAGAAGAACACACAAACAAGAGACATAGCTTAAACATGCACAGGGTGACACTGCCAATAATTCTATGATGGTATGGCGGTGCTAGAGTTCTGTTGTCCATCCATCTGTACATACAACCATTTTCTAACTGCTCTACCCAATACAGCGTCGCAGGAAAGCGGGAGTCTAGCCCAGCAAGCAGCTGCACAAGGCAGGAGACACCATGGACGGTACACCAGTCCATCGCAGGGCACACAGACTCGCACCAGGGCCAATTGTCCCAGAAGCCAATTAACCTAACAGCATGTCTTTGGCTTGTGGGATGAGACCAGAGCACCCAGAAAAAACAAACTCCATGCAAACTCCACACAGACAGCACCCAGGCAAGTGAACCCAGGGCCAGAGTGCTGCAAGACAGCAACACAAACCACTGTGCACCCATGCCGCCCTCTTCTATTATGTATTGGAAAAAAAAAACAATCCCCTATTAACAGTTCTGCAAATAGCTGCTGCCATGTATAGCCCTAACAATATTAGCATTGCCCCGTTTATCCAACCTGTCCTTTGGAGCATGCCTGGAATGGCAGCCCCCGAGCTTTCTCAAGATGACTCATACCTGCATGTTGGAATGATTTACATCTGAGAAAGGAAGTGGACTTGGTTCAACACCAAGAATGGTTTGACTTGTAGGACATGCAGATAAGTGGCCCTTCAGCTCTTATCTCTTTTCAGATCTTACATCACTGAACAAATAAAAGGCAAAGTGCTCAATGGAGGACTTTAAAGTGAGAAACTGTACAAGGCTTTAAAAATAGCCGAGTTTGCTAAACAAACTTTTGCCCTTTGTTTTAGTACAAATGTTTAACTGCAACCTGCCGTCGCTTTGTTATCTCTGGTTTCTCTGGGAAAACAGAGCCAGTGGATCCAGCCGTGTCTAAAACATCCACGCATGGAGATTGCGAAGAGGAGTATCGCTTAATTGGGCCATTTTATGTAAGGAGATTAAACAGCTACATTTTCTGATGGAGAAACAAATGCTGGGAAAGACAAGACAGTAATCTGTAGGACGTACATCATCCTACTGTGACAACTTTTCCTGGACAATGTTAAAATTATGATAATAATATATCATTGTTTAGATATATTCCTCTGATTGTTTGTAACAGTCACCCAAAATAAGAGCAGTGAGTCCTAATTTAAAGCATTTTTTGCTCCCTCATTAAGTTAATAATATTATTTCAATACTTAAAATAAGATTTAACTCAGGTTAATAACGTACACCTGATGCTTGAAACAATCCTCATGTTTATTTGCCTTGTTGGTGTGTTTGTCTAAATATTCTTTGCCGTTGTAAAACTAATTGCTCCTTAGGGATTATGAAAACACTCTCTCTTCTCAGTTTTTAAATGTCTGATAATGGTTACAGCCTGCACAGGCACTGAAGAGCTTGTGATGTGTATAATTGCAACTTTCTTGTCAAAAGACTCATTTCTGTGCTTTGCTGGCATCTGGATTGTAGAAAGAATTGAGCTGATTCCTAATGGAGAGTAGTGTAGAACTAAAAACAAATGTTAGATTTTACCATGAAACCGGCAAACAAATAAATATTGCTGGCAGTGACACGTTTACCACGGTAAAAACCTTCATAATCAAGTCATTTCATAGGAGCAAAAGCTGATGACCTTAATCTCACATGCTTCATAACTTTCTTATTATAGGCATTGTGGCTTGGTGAAAGGTACATAGCTAACATTTGCACGTTAAGAGAAATTGGCAACCTAATTCATCACGAGGACCTGTTGAGCTACCATTATACTTACTCATTAACGAAGCCTGCACATATTTGAAGAGGAGGCAAGATATTTGTTAAGTTAAGGGATGCCAAGATATTAGTAAGCGGGTGGAGAAAAACTAACTCACTACTTTCGCATTGCGTCCGCAGCTTAACAAGTTCAGATTTCTTGTGCAAGCTCCCACACGAGCATACAGTATATCTACAGCACACAATAGTAACACATTTCGTTTATAAACTGTAGCACATTGCATCGCAGTGAAATGGGCTCCACCTTAAAAATGCTAAAGGATTACTAAGAAAGAAAACGAACACTTTATAGTACTGGAAGTTGATAGGCTGGCAGAGAAGGGTTTTACAATATCTATATCTATATAGAAACACATATATATTGCATATATATCTAATTTCTGTCACTATATGAATAAATCCTTTACCACATTGCTTATGATACAACTGAAGGAGTCTGGTAGTATAATTATATACATAAAATAGTCTATGAACGCACACAAATGTAACAACATGGTTTATAAACCTTGCAAGCCGTTAGGTGCTTTAAGTATATTACTGCACCTAAACATTCATGACAGCACCTATGCAGCTCATTTATGAAGTTCACAGAGATATATGCTACTGGTAGCAGTATTTGGGCAGCAGGTATTCACTTAGCAAACTCCAGATACAAGCCCTCCCCCCCTTCTCAATGGAAAAGATGCATTTCGGAGAACAAACGAGGAAGTAGGAGGCGTGGCCAGGCCGCGCTGGACTTTAGCTCCATATAAACGAAGGCAGGCCTGTGGAATTTCATTCATAGGGTCTCCACCGAATTCTCGGCTGCCGCTGGAGAGACTTGACATGCGCCCACCGCAGAGAGCAGGACGCCTGGGGTGCTTGGTCTCCTGTCTGGGGCTCTTGTTTCTGGGGAGGGGACAGTGCCGGCCATCGCCCCCCGAGGCGCAGGAGCTCCCCCAGCTGGAGGCGCTGAAGAGGGGGATCCTGGAGGCTCTGGGAATGAGCAGCCCCCCAGTGCCCAGGCAGAGGGCGAGTGAGAGGGAGCTGAGGCGGATGCGCGCCCTCTACGAGGAGCAGCGCGAGCAGCTCCGGAGAGACCCGCCGCCCGCCGTCCTGCTCCCAGAGCGAGGTGAGTGGGGAGCGGGTTCGCAGAAACGGCCGGGGCGTAAGCAGCGTCGGATCGCAACGTCAGTGGAGTGACATTCAAACGGGGTCATTGAAAAATCCAATTCCGGACATGGGGTGCTGTCTGTGGGGAGTCTGCATGTTCTCCCCATGCTTCCTCCAGATGCTCCAGTCCAAAGACATGCTGGTGGGCTAACTGGCTTGTGATAAAACTGGCCCTGGTGTGAGTGTGTGCTTGTGCCTGTCTGCCCTGTGATGGACGGGCGTCCCGCCCAGAGTGTATCCTGCCATATACTGTACACTGTATATAAGCCCATTGCGGGATAATTAGCTCAGAAAATGGATGGATGGATGAAGCTGATCTTTGTGTGCTATCAGATGTTTTTGTCATTTATTACAACTTTAAAATTCAGGTTCTTTTTTTTCAGGCCTCTGAACCGATTATAACCAATAATTCAAATAAGTCTACAGAATAATTGAGAAAGCACTACCATCCTGTTTACAGGCATTATGCACTCTGTAGCATTTTCATTTTATTGTGCTTTGATTGAGATCCTTAATGGGAACAAGAGTTCAAAGTAACCAGGCCTGAATCTGCGTGGTCTGTAAATTTTGGAGAGCCTTATCAAACTGTCAAAAGAATATATATGTATGTACTAAAATGTATGTAACATGATTTACGTCATGTTAAATTTTCAGAATAGGCTCGTACCATAATAAGCCACTCTACAAAACAGACAATGTTCAGTTATAAGGATAGTTCCCACATAAATAGAGAAAATCCAACAAACAAGTGAAGTTAATTTCATAGTTTTTTTTTAAATCGGCTCAAATGCAGCTGATGTTCCTTCACAAGCGAACTTCCAGGAAGAGTGAGGTTTAAATCGAGAAGCTCCCTGGAAAACCCACTGGCCCTTATTGCCGCTTGGGGAGACTGTGCACTGACACCCGTTAACGGACTTCCTTTCTCCTCTGTGGCTCAACCCAGTACAGCTCCTGCGCACGGCGGTGGACACCAGCAGCAACTCCTCGGGACCCGGCACTCAGAGATTCCGTGTGCTGTTCAACAGGACCGGCCTGATGACGGAGGAGCTGGGCCTCGTCCGGGCCGAGCTCAAGCTCTACCAGCACCTGCTGCGCAGCCCCGCCCCCCGTGAGCCAGGTCTGGCCGGCCCGATACAGGCGCGCGTCTACCAGCCTCCCCAGAACCACTCAGGGGACTGGGCCCTCATCGCCGCCGCGGTCCTGGACTCGCGAGACGGCGGGGTTGACCTCAGAGCCCCCGTGGACCGGTGGAGGACCAGCTCCCAGGAGATGCTGGAGCTGGAGGTAGAAACCATCGCACGGGGGCCGCGGCCACCGCCGCCCGCCCCTCACATCGTCCTCGGGGCGGAAACTGGGCCGGGCGAGGGGGGCGGGAGGGGGCAGAGACACAGGCGCTCCAGCCCCGAGCAGGGCTGCGGGCAGGAGGAGAGCCGGTGCTGCAGAAAGTCGCTGACCGTCTCCTTCAAGGAGATCGGCTGGGCGGACTGGGTGCTGGCCCCCGAGACCTACACCATGTACTTCTGCGACGGCTCCTGCCCTCACAACTACAAACCCGCCAGCATGCACACGCAGATCAAATCCCGGATGCACAATGCTTCCAAAGGGGCTGTGCCGTCTCCCTGCTGTGTTCCCTCTGCTTATGACTCTATGATCCTGATGCACTACGACAGCGAAGGGAAACTGACTTTAAAGATCTTCAACGATATGGTCGTCACTAAGTGCCACTGTGCCTGAGCTGGACATTATGTATCTGGACGGTATGCTATATGGAAGACAAGGGCAGAGTGTACGTTTATCATTTCAATGCATTCTGTGTTTTTTCTCTTTATTTTTGGAAGAGGTGAGTGTGTTTTGAGGGATATAGAAAGAAGCAGACATTACCATTCCCTGTAAAAAACAGTGTTTTTTGTATCCACTTTGTTAAATCTGATTCCAAATTCCAGGACAGGTCAGAACAGAGGTTTCAGGAAAGTCAGTAGAACGACATAAGCACTGCTTGTTTTGTTACTGTAAAAATTCAGAGGTATTGTATTATTTACTGGTCAAGTGTAGTTCGACACATTTTTAAACCGTGCATAAATGAAGACAACATAAAAAAACACTGGAAAGGGCTATACAGAAGAAAACCTTATAGAAAGTGATATAAGACAGTATGTCTTTTGAAGAGTAAACCTGTACAGTCGCAGACAGTCTAAAATTGTCAGGCTGTATTGAAAATACTCCCCAAAGCGTCACTCGTATGCTTCAGTCCGACGCAAATCTTGGTTAGTGGTGAAATACTTTCTGGAATGGGATTTTAGACACATGTATTGAACGCTCTAGCATGCTGGCAGTTTTATTCCCAGTGATAAGGGCTTCATGCTAATGACATCAGGGCACATTTGAAAATGGAAAGCATCTGACTCCAAGTGTTAAATATATAAGACAGCCACCAGGTGTTTCTATCTTAAGGCAAAATATCTGCAAACAGGTTATCCTCCTATTTGTGGATATATTTATTTTAATAAACGGAATATGGATCCCCTGTGTATTTCTGAAAGCATGGATTTCAATAACAGATGGGTAGTTTGCTTGTATTTATGTGCAATAACTGTCAAGTGGCTAATTGGCTAACATGTTTGTAAAGTGGATAATTTATTGTAATTTATTATATATTTATAGCCTAAACTCTATTTATCATTTTTTTGATAAATGTTGTTATCTATGCCTGTTTTGTTAATTAAACATAGTCTGGATTTTCTAAAGGCGTGCCTTGTTTGGAAATACATGTTTTTTTTTAAAAAGAAAACATCCTGCTATTGTTTTTGAAATGTGGGGCAAAAAAGTACATACAGAACATAATGATCACTGCCAAACACTGTAGTATCAGACGTATATTGGGAGTGAAGACAGGCATGTGTTTTCTACTTTACATCAACATTGACATCGAACAAATATCTTTCACTTTTTGGTCTGCCTTTCCAAGCTTGTGACTTAATGTGAGAAACAGGCTTTCATTATTACTCATTCGTTATGACTAATTTGACTGAAACAGCCACTTACCGTACATTCGCTCTCATTTATACAGCTCGGCATTTTACTGGAGCAGTTCAGGGTGAAGCACCTTCTCAAGGGGTACAACAGCAGTGTATCACATGGGATTTGAACTGGCAAACTTCCCACTGGACACACCCAGGATGGGATGCCAGTCCATCGCAGGGCACACATAGACACAGACACACCAGGGCCAATTTTCCAAGATTTCCAATACCTCTCGGGCCCTAAAGAGTGGCATCAGATCTATGATGCATCATTTAGAAAGACAAAAATCATTAATTACACTCTTACGTTCACTGCCATGCGTGTGCATTCAATGCTTGGAAATGGACAGGCTGTTCAGATCATGTGCATCAATTCACATACAAGGTTCTATCTGTTGGTACCTTTTGAGCTGCAGGTGGGAAAAGTGTAACAGATTCATAAACTTTGAAGGACAAATGTCACTCACACTGGGCTCCCCGGGCTGGTCAAATCTCATTTCCAGTGGCTGACCTTTGACTCAGAAGACTGGACGCCGGTCTGGGCGGAGCGGATCAAAGCTGGCCGGGCAAAAAACAGTTGTAGGGTCTGGCAGGTACGCAACAACAGCTTCTTGACGCTATGGAAATGTTTAAGAAGAGCATGAATTGAACGCACCATCTTAATCTAACCGGCTACCTTTTACGCTGCGGTGCACTATTTACGACACTCTTGTGTGGTTTTCTCTTTTTTCTACTTCTGTAATTCGTCACTCGCAGTATTTCGGGAAAAGGTCGTGTGAAATCTCATCGTGCTACAGAACAAATATATATATAAATCAGTTTATTCGGATTCCGTTTGCCCGGCTGCGAACACTCATTTTCTGACAGTGGCGAGCCGGAGAGAAGGCAGCTGAGGCTGTGTTTGTTTTACCGGAATCGTTGGGAGTATGAGTCACGCCGGAGAGGCACGTTCCGTACGCGTTGCTGTTGTGGCGAAAGAGGCGACGAGGCGGCGCTGGAATGCATGAGTGTCAGTGTAGCACTAAGACGCTGGCACAGGGTAGTGCGCAACGCTACAATATTTATACTGCTGTCGAGCTGAAATTAACGAGTGCGTCCCGTTTGCAGAGAAGAACCAATTGGTTTCCCTTGGTGTAAAGAAAAACACCGGCAACGCCGTAAAGATTTGTGAACATGTACACATATTCCCTGCTAATTCTTCATCTGACTCAGATTCTTCAGCTGTTCTTAACTTGACTCTGTCTTCATATATACTGGTCTTCAACTGGACATATTAAATATTAAAAACGTTAGTGTTAATGATTCTTGATTTCTTATTGGTTTTATAACGTTTTAGTGTTTTTGTTTTTTAATGAGTGTTAAAGAGGGGGTAGAATTCTGTGCGGTCTAGGATTGAAGGGCGTGATGTCTCTTCTGTAACATGCTTAGTGCTCTGAGCCCTGAAGACAGGGACAGTGTTAATGTCCCATATCAGCAGAGCTTGTCTGTAGATCAGTACACTAGTTGGTATAAATGGTATAAATTGGAATAAAACAACAACCAGGTCTGAGGGAAACACGACAAACACCCTGATACTGTATCATTAACTTTAATTCTTCTGTCTCCCAGGCGGACACTAAACATTCCTTCCCAGAATCTGAAAAAAAGCTCCTTCCCAAGGCTGCAAACATGTTGATCCAGATCTTCTGAGACCTGAATAGCTCCTATATATCAAGAGCACCTTCCCATCATGTTTCATATCATTAATATTAATTTTATCACCTCACAGAAAATGACCGTCCTCAGATGCCCATAAGCATGGCCTTTTTCATAATCAGTTCTTAACGGCAGACCTCCCCAAGCCCAGCCCTGCTCTCAAAGTCTTACAGCAAGATCCCTGATTTTGCCCGATTCTCCCTTGGATAAAGTGCGCTGAATATCAAGAGACGTTTATCACGGGTTCCTTCGAGACGAGACTGTGATGGATGTGCTGTTGATGCCCCACTCACCTGGCTTCAGGCCCACTGAACATTTGTGGGATGAGCTGGGCAGCGTGTGGTATCTAGACCGCAGAGACCAGTAACCAGTAGTGCTGTCTGTGTGCTTGCTTAAGGAACAGCAGGTGTAAGGCTTGCCATTGAGTTTCTAATAGCACAGCTTCACTTCTAAACTTCCCTGGTATCTTTAGAGAAATGTCTGGATGAGATCCTAGGATAAATTAATTACAGGCACAGTGGTCAGCACTGCTGCCCTGCAGCTTGGAGGCCCTGAGGTGCTATCTGTGTGAAGTTTGCATGTTCTGTACAAACCCCTGATTGCTTGGGTTTCCTCCATTTGTTCTGGTCTGCTCTGGCTCCCCCTGGATGCTGAACTGGATATAGTAGCTGGAAAATGAGTCCACCCAGAAACCAGGGTATTTGAAAATCTGTCCTGGGCCAGAAACTCGTCCATTACTTATGAGTGAAGAGAGCTGTTCTGAAGAAGCAGAGATTTTCCTTGCTACACACAGTCCTGCATTAGAATCTTCACAGAAACAACACACAAAATAAAAATAAGATTCGTTTCTAAGGATATGTTTAATTTAAAAGTTGAGTCAACACACAGGGAGATGAAAATAACAGGAATTGCATTTCCAAACCTTCTACATGTTTTTGTGCTTCAGTGTTGCTGTTTAAAAAAACAATTATATATTCCTTTAAAGAATGTATCTGCGTCATTCCTTACTAATTTCATCTGTGTTGCTGGCTTTGCTCTTTTTCCATGAAATCTGTGATGTCTAAAAGAATAATCCTTGTTTGATGGCAGTATCTTTGTAATTAACTCCTGTACTTTGAACGATAAAGACATGAATTGCACTGTAATTTAGCTGTAAATCAATAGCATTCCTACAGAGAAATTCTTCATGTGTGCTGTGTGTGGAATGGTGAGCAAGGCACCTGTGAGAGAAACATTGTTTTTTTTAGAAAAACAAATAAACATTTGCAAACTGAAATCAACTATTTTAATTCCATGCTGTTTTAATAACACTCTGGCCTTCGGATGTGAGCATCTCTTTCAACAGAAGTAACCTGTCCTCGGTTTTAAATGCAAATCCATGTTAAGAAGAGAAGTGGAAGCTATGCTGAAGTGCATTTATAACTGAGAACAGGAGACACCTCTGTACTGTTTCGGTTATGTTGGTGAGGAACAAGCTACCCAGCCATGCTGTTGAAGCCGTTAAACTGGCTTCAGTCAAGAAACAGCTGAAGCGATCCCTGGATCAATTAGCTACTAACAGCTAAATCGCCGAGTGTTCTCTTTTCGTTTGGTCTTCTGTACTTATGTCGGCATCACGTTAACGGTAAACTGTAAATCCACTGCAGAGAGCTTCAAGCATTCAGACTGCGCGGTTTGTTCATTGTTGTCACAATCCTGCCATCTTGTGGACATGTAGGGTAAGGCACGGAGACAAACAGGCGCCATCTCCTTCCATCGACGTTCAAATTACTTTTGTCACTGCGTCGAAGTGAATTGGGGAACTCCCGGAGATTTCTTTTATCTGATCTTCTGCGCGATTGCAAGTGTCTGAAACCAGACTGTGGCTTCCTGAAGACGGAGCCACCTGCCACAACAGCACTGTCACAACATAAGAACAGTCATAAACGAGAGGAGGCTCGTCTAAGCCATTCGGTAGTTAGTAGCTAATTGATCCCAGGCTCACATCCAGCTGTTTCCAGAAAGGAGCCAGGGTATTGATTACAAGAACATGACAAGATTGCTTGATCCATACTCCCACATCCCTTTGGCTAAATCAGACCATCCAGCATCCAGTTCGCGATTGAAATGTACTCGGACGAAGTCCCGACTTGTGCCCTCTGCCGAGGAGACGGGGGCTATCTGAAACTCAGCAGGCGTGCTTTCAGACCTCCGTGGATGCTGAGGCCACCATTGAGCACCCCACCTGCTGCGCCAGATCTGTTGATATTGAGGGTGCTGCAGGAATCTTCTTAGGGGGCCTTGTGCAGCAGGGCCACTCTTTTGCAGGTTCCTGGTCCTTTTCCTAATAGACAGAATGTGGGTACAACGAGCTTCCAGTGCAGAATACATTTGGCACTTCGTGTTGCTCAGAAGGTGCGGACAGCGGGCTGGGCGGCCACACTTCCTGGAAGGCTGGGTGGCATGTGCGGATCAGAAGAAGGTGCAGAGCACTTCACTTTCACTTCCTCCTGTCCCTGCAGCTGCAGCAGTCATGTGACACAAGACCCACCGTCCCTTCCTGCCGGTACAGGTGCTCTCCCCACGTCAGCCTGCGCTGGGACACCTGCTAAGACACCTGTTTTGCTCTCCGAGAGGGGCAGGGCCATTCTGGGCCAATTCTTTGGCTCAATTACAACAAAATAAGCTGTTTTGTTTTGGCTGAGACCAGTATATATAATAAGATGGACCAGTCAAAGGAATTATGGTTAATCGTCCTCCGCTGGCAATGTAGAGTATTAAAACGTGTGATACTGAGATCAGACAACAGGTTGAAAATGAGTTGATTGCTAAAATGTTGAATATAATTTTATTTGCATTCGCCATGCAGATGTTTGATGGAGACAGCGTTTCAGGTATAGACATACAGTGCACCTTACTTGAAGCACC